TTGCATGTATCCTTTTCCATGTCATTTCTATCGTTATTTTGATTACTTTATCGGTTTATGAAATTTTGCATTCTTAGATTGCCACGTTGAAGTCAATGGCAGCACAAGCATCATCATTGCAAAATTCAGTGACAATTACAACTGCCTTAAACATGCCACCATCAAATGTGACACATTCTGCAACAGCACTGGTAACTTCTCAAGTGAACAGCGAGATGAATAATGCGCTAAATATGGCTACGGTAACTGCAGGTGCAACTGCAGTTAATGCAACTACAGTATCATTGCAAAATAATGTAGCAGGGAATGACATTGATCAGAATGCTCTGCGACAGGTGCTACGGATGAGTACCACTCAGGATGCACGAAATCACTTACCACAAGCGGTACACATTTTAATTTTCGGTTACTGTAATGAATTTCGTAATTAAAAATATAGCAACTAACCACTACATAATGCAAAGCTAAAAAAATATCACTGAAGTTGAAATTGGGGTGTTCTTGACGTACTTTGAATACAGAACTGTCAGGAATTCATAATAGTCCATTAATATTTTTGTCATTAATAGGAATCTAAGCTCAGAATATGCACTGCTTATCCATTCTATTGTGACCTCTTAGTTGTTGTTTCTGAAATTCAACTTGAAATGCAGGCTGTGATACCAGCATGGCTTGGAGCATCGCCATTAGGTCGTTCACCAGTAATGCCAGAGCATGAAACACAGTTGAAATTATTGGAACATGCGCTAACGCGAACACCATTACCAATGGATTCCGAAAAGCCACGAAGTTATTTGCCGAAAATGCCATGCGTAACCGCAACTTATTATCCGCAAGCACCTCTAATTAATGCGGATACGTTAGAATATTATCTTCGTCTGAGTCCAGAAACACTTTTCTTCGCTTTTTATTATATGGAGGTTAGTTACTGATATATGTTCTTTTTTTTTCTCGGTTCATTGTTTATCTTGAATGTTTTCTGAATGAAACATAGTATATACTTTCTCAAAGATGTTTTATCGGATTTTAGGGTTCACGTGCACAACTGTTAGCGGCGAAAGCACTAAAAAAGCTCTCGTGGCGATTCCACACGAAATATTTAATGTGGTTTCAGCGACATGAAGAACCGAAACAAATAACTGATGATTATGAACAAGTAAGATCATTATTTTTCATTGAGGTTATAAAGAGAGCCAAACTCTAATGATTGTTAATCATTCGGAGTGAGATGGTTGGCCATGAATAATGATGCTGAATATTTAACTATAGCCAGGATGATGCGGATGGTCGTTAAATGTTTCTAATGTCATTTAATGTTTATGATATTGATTATATTGGTGATGTGGAATAAATGGTCAAGTAAATTAAAGGAAAGTGGAAAATGATGTGATACTCTAGCACATCAACTCTGATGCTGAGTGTTCACATACGCAATCTTTATAGTCTTTCTATATTTATTGATGATTTGAAATACTAAGCTTCATTTTTCGCATAAATATTTGCAAATATATTTGAAAAAAAAAAAAAAAGTGTACTGCAGATATTTGGAAAACATACTGGTGAACTGGTACTGGTATAGTCTATAAAAAGGAGAACATTTTTATTTATTTTTTTTTTTACTGCAACAGGTTAGCATTTTTATTTGAAATGCGCATTTTCCAGGGTACATATGTGTATTTTGATTATGAAAAATGGTCCCAGCGTAAAAAGGAGCAGTTTACATTCGAATATCGTTATTTGGAAGATAAAGATTTCGATTGAGCGGCAGTTATTGGCAATGTAAGCTGTGCTAAGTTAAATGTCCTTTTATGCTTTTACAATTGTGTTTAAGGCATATTTCGTTAACTGTTTTTTGGGTTTGTTTACGTTAAAAATCAGATATGATTTCTAACCATAATTGATTTATAGATTAAAACAAAACCTACCGATTACAGATGATGGATCCATATGATGTGTTATTGCTGTCAGTGATATGCCTGAAATGCTGAATTTGTTAATGTTGCTGTTGCTCTTGTAGCAAATTGTATGAAGCATTATTTTTTGATTCTCAATATGTTCTATTGGTCATTTTTGACGGTAATTTGTTTTTGACTGCAAAAAGAAGTGAGCTAATGAAGATTATTGTGTGGTATTTAAAAAGTCATTCTTGGCTTATAAGAACTAGAAATGTACATCCAATTAAGAGAGACTATTTGACTCTTGTTCGAAGATTGTTTGACTGGTCATTTACTGATATTAAAGCCTAAGTTATACTAGGACAATATGTCGCAAAGGAAGTTAACTGTGATCAAACTAAGTTCTCTGGAAAAAAAAAAGAGTGGTGGTACTCTATTGTATGATATAATGATGATAACCATCGTATTATATTGTTTCATTTGGCATATAAGGGTTTACAAGGACAAACCAAAACAATATGATGAGAAATTTGATTTTAATGCTTTGATCATTTATGAAACTATATTCAAATATTTTAATTTGTAATTACACGAGATTTCATTGTTGTTTTATATGCATTTCTTTTTCTTTTTTCTTTTTGTTATTTTTGAGTTTCTGTTATGATAGCATAATAGGTTGAAACATTTCGTGTTTGTTGGAGAAATTTTAAAAGAGGAAAATGAGATTCACGTAAATTAACTCTCTTAAAGGAATCTAGATATATGAGATGCATAAGAAGTGCAAAAGCACATATTGGTTTTTTTTTTTCCTTTTCCTTGTATGTTGTTCGTAATTTGAATATTTGTAAAAATATATTTTATCAGAAATCTGAAAGATGAAATTTGGAAGTTTTATTCGAATCGGCATTGTCATAAAAAAGTTGCACGGAATGATTGATTGGTTGGGTGAAAGATTTGTGGTGTTTAAAAATAAGGATGACATATTATAAATTCGGTGCAAAAAAAAAGGAAGCTTGCATTTTTTTTTTTTCCTCTCAACATGGAATTTTTCCCTCAAGATGGGAGCATTTTACAAGCTGTCAAAATGAACTAGATGAAATTCATTTTAAAAATGCATCATTTATTTAGCAATCATTCAGCTTATGAAGTAATTAAAAAGAAGCGCATATTGTGTTCTTTTCATTTTTTACGAATTTGATATGACATTTGAAGGATGATATTCTTCAATGATAGATCTAAGAAATTAATTTAGATAATAAATTTTCTGATATACATTTTAACATTTGTGATAATTATTACTGAGTGTTGATGATGAATTGCATAACGAAAGTATCAGTTTATTCAGATGTAATTTGATGATGAGTAATGAATAACTAACTACTTGGATAAGTATCTGCAATGAACAATTATTGTTAGGAAATATTTGTAATTTTATTATAAAAACATTAAAAAACTTTTTTTTTTTTCACCAAAACACTCACAAAAAGAAAAAAAAAAGTGTGATTAAAGAAAAAAAGAAAACAATATGTTTGTTAATAATTGCATATTTTGATTTTCATTTATATTTTCTTCTCCACTTTTTTCTACGATTTAATTCTTCCAACAAATAATTTTGCTTAGTACAATTACCATGCTATATTGCATTTTTAAATTCATTTATTCCAGTCATTATGTTTGATCTTTTCTTTCATTATATTTAAAGTATGTTTTTTTTTTCCTTTTTTTTTCCTTTTTTTTTTTTGCATTTTCTTATTTTTAAATTTTGTTTTTGAAATGAACAAATGAAAAAATTGAAAATGTAATATTGTCATAATAAAGTAAACTGAAATGAACTTATTTTTCTTCAAAATGCTAATTATTCTATTGTAAAATGCCTAATAAGAATATTTTCCATTGTAAACTTTTCAAATTTTAATGTTTCAAAGATTATGTTGCTAATAATATTAGAGTGAAAAAGTGAAAAGTTTTTCTGGAAGTATTTATTTATTTATTTTTCATTTTGCTTACTCTTTACAATCATTTTAAAATAGTGCACTTCCAAACTATGCTTTATGTATAGTTTTGATTTGTGAAAATTTTTTTGTTTTTCTTATATTTGTATATTATTAATGAAATATTTCTCTAATACCTATATATGATTAAATTATAATTTTCTAAACTATGCCAAAATTTCATAAGTTAAAGCTAAATTCTAAATATTCAATCACATTATGTGGTATAAATTTACGTATAAATACAACTCGATATTAATTCATTTCTTTATTCACCTAAGAATTCAAAAAATGTCAAATATTCTATCAATAAATTAAATTAATTAACATTCATAATGAATTATGTAATAGTAGAGTTATCATTGATACACGTACGTGTTTTTTGAAAGTAAGAAAACGTGGGGCCAATCCTTCCTAAGGATTGTTTGATCTCGGGCGGAATCGAACCGCCGACCTTCTGTGTGTTAGACAGATGTGATAACCGCTACACCACGAGACCCGTTGCAGCTGCTTATTAAATTAGCAATCAAAAAAAATGAATGTTTGGTAAAATAATTGTTTGTTGATTTGAATTCTTTCTAAATTATATTAATATCAAAAAATTTTGATGATAAAATTATTTGCTATAATTGTTTTTTTTTTTTTTAAATTCAATATTTGTAAAAGAAAAATAAAACAAAACAAAAAAAAAAAAGAGACAAAAGTTTTATTTGCATGAAAAAATTTAAAAGAAATCAATAATTACATATTTAATCACATTATATGGTATAAATTTACCACATAAAAAGTTGCATATAAATTATTCATAACAAAATTATATCAATTTTGTTATTCATTCAAAAATTTCTTAATTGAATGAATTAAATTTAAGTAAGTAAAAAAATTTTTGATAATATACAAACCCTACATGCAAATACATTATGCTTTTATGAATTTAATTATTTGATTATATATATGAATGAATATATTTGATTATGAAAAATTTTTGATTTGATTAAAGTAAGACTAATTAAATTCATAAATAGCATAAATAATTATTGAATGAAATCAATCATATGTAATTGAAATTGAAACTTAATTACAATTAAAATTTCTGCTAAATCAAATCAATCAATTAATCATCATTTTCTATCAATGTCTGAATAATTCTTATCTGCAAATAACAAATAATTTTAAATTTCAAATTTAATGGGAGTTTGAACTTTTTTCAAAAAAATATTGTAAAAATTTGTAAAAAAAAAAGGAGAAAGAAAATTTTTATTCAAATTAGTTCGATTGAAAATGTACTTATGTTATATTAAATTATTTTAATTGCATAAATATTAAATTATTTTAATTTGCATAAAAAACAAAAAAAAAAAAAAAAAAAAAGTATCACCATTTCTAATTTTTCACATTGAACTTCATTAAGAAATGTTTTTGTTTGTTCATGCAATGCTTTCTCGTTCTGAAGCTCCAAATATGCATCATTAAGCTGAATTATAATTTCATTTAAAATAATTAAATTCAGATAAATTAGAAAACATTTGAGAAAAAAATTGCTCAGATTGTTATTTTTGATGCTAACCTATTTCAACAATTAATTAATTAATTAATTTTAACATTCAATTGTCATATTTATTAGCAATTTAATATTTTTGTTGATTTTTTTGAAAGTATTAAAAAGCTATCCAGTAATATTTAAACTAATAATTTACTATAAACAATATGATAAATTATATCGATAAAAAAGTAATCAATATAGAATGCAACAAATTTTTTAAATATTGTTAAAAAATTAAAAAAAACAAAATGCAAAATTTAGCTAATTTTTAAAAATTGTGCAAAACTTGGTCTATATTTTTAAGACATGCAAAAAAATGAACAAACAAATAAATAAATAAACAAAATGTTTACCTGTTTTAGAAGGTCATTGTAAGTGTCCAATTTTTTGGAACCATCAAAAGCACTCTCGAAATGTTTATTAGCAATTTCACTTTTCTTATCACTTATATCATCATGAAAATAAAGTGTCGTTATAATATCATCAAGTTTTGATGATTTACGACATTCTGGACATGTCTTCTGCTCCTTCAATGCAAATTTTTTTTTTTTTATTTTGTCTTAAATAAATAAATTTGCTTAAATAAAATTAAAAAGCAAACTAAAATAAATTATTTCAGTGTTAGTTACACTGTTCAAAATAAATAAAAAAATAAACAAATAAAAAAAAAATAATATTTTTATTAAAAATTCATTTTATTTTATTAATTGTTATGCTATTTTTATGCATTAATTCTAAATGATAATTTAAATATCATATATTTTATTCTACAATTTAAAAAAATAATGCCAAATAAATTTAACAAATTTAAACAACAAATAAATGTTAAACATAATTTCTGCTCAATACATTTATCATTTTGTAACGTTAAAAAAAAAAAAAAAAAAAACTTTAATTAATTTATTTTTTTTTAACAAAAAAAATTTTTTTTAAAAAAAAAAAAGTGAAAACATACAGTAAGCCAATATTTGATACATTTAAAATGAAATAAATGACCACAATGAAGTGCTGAAATATCTCTCATTGGCATTTTCTCCAGGCATATTGTACATATACTAAATTTTAAAATAGTTATTTAAAATAAAAAATACTATATTAATTGTAATCACATAACCTTTAACCTTTCAATTTAAAAAATTGTTTTATTTTTCGATAAATTTATTATTTTTATTAAATTAATTTATTAGTTTTATTATTTTTTGAAATATTGTTTCTATTTTAATTATTAATTGGTTTATATGCCAAAAAAAAAAAAACAATAATATATAAAATTTAAAATAAAAAAAAAAAAAAAATTATTTTACCCATTTGATTTTTGACGTCCCAATAATTGTCCCATAATTTACTGTTATCACTTACAATTGATTAAAATTAGTAATAATATTAAAAAGCTGAAAAAAAAAAAACCTTACTAGCAATTTTCTTAACAAATATAATTTCAATTAAATTATTGAAAAATGTGAAAAAATAAAATTGAAAAAAAAAAAAAAATAAATTAAAAGAAAAAGAAACGATTCATTTTATATTAAAATAGTATTATGAATTACATATATCTTTACAAAAATTATTTATATTTATATATTTAATTTCCATATACTCAATGAATATATATATATATATATATATATATATATATTTTTTTTTTTTCAATATTTTATTTTAAAAATATATTTAAAAATATTTTTTCAATATTTTATTTTAAAAATTTTTTGAAAAAAAAAATTTAAATTGAAAGAGATAAAAAAAAACAAACAAACAAACGATTGGGAGAAAGAAGAGGAAAAGGGAGAGGGAGAGAGAGAGAGAGAGAGAGAGAGAGAGATGGAATCGACATTGTATCCAACTTTAAAAATAAATAATAAAAGTAAGAAGTATTTATTTATATATTTCTAATTGTGCCAAATAATCGAACAATGATCAACATTTTGTTATCACAGATCAGATCATTTTATAAGATTATTTTTTGTGATAATATTAATAAAATGATAATTACTATAAATATGGCGCACACATTTTTTTTTTCTTTTTTTTTAAATTTCTCATTTACATTTAATGTTCATATCATTCGCAATTAAATTACTAGTTTTATAAGTTGAAATTTTTTCAAATTTAAATTTAATAACTAATAAATAATATGTAGTAATAAATAATCAACAGTTGAAAAAAAAAAGAAGTAATTTTAACATTTTTAATTACAATTATTTTAAACCATTCATTTTTTTTTTTTTTGATGTAATTATAAATTATTGTGATTATATAAAAATTTATATATTGAAATTTTTTTTAGAATTTATGTTTGAATTTATATATAATGAAATTTTTAGAATTAGTATGTAATCAAATGCTAATAAGTGAATAAGCAATAAAAGAAATAGTGTTAACATATTGAATTACAATTATTTAAATATATTGAAGTATTTTTAGAATTAAAAATTTTATCATTTAGATGTGACTTACAAAATAATTTTGCATGTAACATAGTTTATATATTATTTTAAAAGATTTAAAAATAAAAATTAAACAAAAATGAAAGTAACAATTGTTATCTTTAACAATTAATTTGATGCATGTATAAATTTAAATTTTCAAAGATTTTTAGGAAGCATTTACTTTTTATTTTTGTTTAAAATTATTATTTAAAATAAGAATGATAAATTTATTTAAATGCCAAATTTACATAATTGTTAAATTTGCAAATTTGTTTGTTATCAGGTTGTAATAAATAGACATTTTAGAGATTTACGTTTATTATTTATAGTTTTTATCTCGCCTATTCGGTGGTTTTTAATTATATATTTTTTAAAAGGTTTACTCAAATTTTTTACCTTCGTTTCTTTAAAAATATTCGAAAAAAATATTTGTAACTTTAAAATTTTTATTAATTATGCAAATTATTGTCCATCGCTGTTTTTAATTAATTAATTTATTTATCTATTTATTATTGGTATTATTTTGATTTCAATTTTATTATTATTATTGTCAATAATAATAATTGTTGTTTATAACAGTTTTCATTTACTTAAAGTTTTCATATTTCGATGAAACGTTTAATTTTATCAAATTTTTTGTTTTTTTTTTTTTTTTTTTTATAGAATAAAATTAAATGTTTTTATAAGATAATAAGGTTTGCTGGAATTCAGCGATTAGCGATTAAGCGACAAAAATAGCGAATTATGTCGAATAGTAAGAAAGAAAAAGTGAAAAGTGATAAAAGCGCAAAGAAGAAACGTGAGGCTGGAGTAAGAGAAATTTAATGAAATAATAAAATTATTTCAGCCAAAAAGCGCATTTGCATTCTCTAATATTATTTGCGATCCGCAAAATGTCATCTGCATTTTCTAATGCTATTTGCGATTCGCAAAATGTCATCTGCATTTTCTAATGCTATTTGCGATTCGCAAAATGTCATCTGCATTTTCTAATGCTATTTGCGATTCGCAAAATGTCATCTGCATTTTCTAATGCTATTTGCGATTCGCAAAATGTCATCTGCATTTTCTAATGCTATTTGCGATTCGCAAAATGTCATCTGCATTTTCTAATGCTATTTGCGATTCGCAAAATGTCATCTGCATTTTCTAATGCTATTTGCGATTCGCAAAATGTCATCTGCATTTTCTAATGCTATTTGCGATTCGCAAAATGTCATCTGCATTTTCTAATGCTATTTGCGATTCGCAAAATGTCATCTGCATTTTCTAATGCTATTTGCGATTCGCAAAATGTCATCTGCATTTTCTAATGCTATTTGCGATTCGCAAAATGTCATCTGCATTTTCTAATGCTATTTGCGATTCGCAAAATGTCATCTGCATTTTCTAATGCTATTTGCGATTCGCAAAATGTCATCTGCATTTTCTAATGCTATTTGCGATTCGCAAAATGTCATCTGCATTTTCTAATGCTATTTGCGATTCGCAAAATGTCATCTGCATTTTCTAATGCTATTTGCGATTCGCAAAATGTCATCTGCATTTTCTAATGCTATTTGCGATTCGCAAAATGTCATCTGCATTTTCTAATGCTATTTGCGATTCGCAAAATGTCATCTGCATTTTCTAATGCTATTTGCGATTCGCAAAATGTCATCTGCATTTTCTAATGCTATTTGCCAGTCGCAAAATGTGTGATCAATTCATTTAGATGATTATAAAATGAAATCCTAAAATGATTAAAAAACTTTGACTGAAAATTAAAAAAAAAAAAAAAACTACGTTGATTGTTCATTTTTTTTCTGCTATTGGTATCACATTATTAGTTTATAAATTAGCAAAACAATAATAATAATAATGTGTATAATATAAATTAATTAGAAAAAAAAAATAATATAAATTAACAAAAAATAAAAATGACAGTTACTTTTTTTATTAAAAGCAATGAGCTTTTTTTGCTTTGCAAGAATTGAAATAATTATGATCGCAAATTGATCTAAAAAAAAAAAAAAAATTGTAAAGTAGGAAGTGAGTTTAAAAAAAAAAAAAAAAAAACAAAACCACGCATAGCTGTATTATTTTGACGTAAACGATCACGTTTACTTCAATAAATCAGCGTAGCCGTTGAAAAAAAAAAAAACTTAAATTAAATTATTATCAATTACAGAAGAATTCAGAAATAATAGAAAAAAATTCACTGCCAGTTTTATTTGATTTTTTTTTTTTTGAGTAAAATTTTGAATTTTGAAACTATTTGTTTTTATTTTGATGTATTTCACTAACATTATAATAAGAATTGCAAAGCAAAACTTGTTAGATCAGAAGTCATAACGAGTTAATTTAAGCTGAAAATTCAAAGACTATTTGTCATTCATAAAAAACAAAATATCGATAAGATTTTAAAATTAAAATTCAAAAAAATTATCTATTTATCAATTATTAGAGTAGAATGCGATAGTTTTATCGGCAAGCTTTTAAATTTTAAATTCCGCTGTTTAATTGTTAGAATATTTTTGGTTCTACTACATTATTTCATTTTTATATATTCTTTTCTCTCCCTTTTTTTTAAAAAAAAAACTCTTACATTATTAAGAAAATAAAAACAAACAAACAAAAAAAAAAAAAAAAAAAAAAGGTAAATAAATAAATATTAACAATTTTAAAGTACAATAATAAATGTAATTTGAAATTGTCGATTTTTCATTAAATGTATAAAATAATAGAAATTTATTGTAACTTTTAAAAATTTGTAAAAGAAAAAAAACTTAACTTTATTTTTTTTTAACATTTATAAAATTATATAATATTAAGGTAAAAGCATGGATACAAACGGTTGTTGATAAATTAACAAAAGACTGGGAACCAGCTAAATGTCAATCACTTTTTACTGAAAGTGAACTTATTGAATTATGCTATCGAGCACGTGAAATGTTTTGGATGCAACCAGCTCTTATTGAGGTGTAAAAAAAATATTATTTAAAGAAAAAAAAACAAAAACAATTAGTTATACTTACTGTAACAAAAATAGTACTTACTTTAATAGTACTTACTAAAAAACAATAATACTTACTTTAATAGTACTTACTAAAAAACAATAATACTTACTTTAATAGTATATATATGTATATAATAGTAATAGTACTAATAGTACTTACTAAAAAATTTAATAATACTGAAAAAACTTTAATAGTACTTACTAAAAAAAAAAAAATTTAATAAGTACTGAAAAAAAAAAAAAAGAAACAAAAAAAGCTATTAATTTTATTAAAAATTTAAAATGTTTTCCAAATAAATGCAGATATGCTTAAATTAGAATAAAAATTTTGATATAATATTATAAGTACTAAAAAATTGATGCAAAATCATTATTAAATGCTATAGTAAAAATATGAACTTTTTCAATTTTTCTAAATTTAATCAATGAATAAATTTTATTAATTATTATCATAATTGATTATAAATATTTCATATTGAAAAATATTTGCATAATAATCAGTGTATTACTAATTCTGATGTATTTTTTTTTTTTTTGAACCAAACAAATTATTCAAACTTATAATAAACTAAATGTTTTTTCATCTTAATTTTTTAATATAATAGGAATGAAAAAAAAAAAAATTTTTTTTTTTTTTGAAATATCATAAATTAGCAGATTAAAGATTAAAAATTACCATATAATAATCATTAATAGAATATATTTATGAACTATTTGAAAATTTTATATTTTAATATATTTAAAATTTGATCACTTACAGAATTTTTTTCCCACTTTTTTTTTTTAAAGATAAATCCACCAATAAATGTTATGGGTGATATACATGGACAATTTGAAGATCTTATTGCATTATTTACTCTGAATGGCTTTCCACCAGATAAGAAATATCTTTTTCTTGGTGATTATGTTGATCGAGGACCGTACTCACTTGAAGTAGTCGTATTACTATTTGCTTATAAAGTATTATTTATTAATTTAATATTTTTTTTTTTATTAAATATTATTTATTAATTCAATTTTTTCTTTACAAAGTAATATTTAATTAATTTAATATATTTTTTTCTTTTTTAAAGTATTATTTATTAATTTAATATTTATTAAATTAAATTTTTCTTTTTTGTGTAATTTTTGTTAATTTTTTTTTTTTGCAATAAATAAAATATAAAATGTTTGGATATGTGAAAATTAAAAAAAAAAAAAAAAAAAAGAAGGAAAGAAGGAAAAAAAATTTTTATTTGGGATAATAATTTATAATTTTTTTTTAAAATGATAATATATGATACAAATAGTTTCATCATTTCTTCGTTTTTTTTTTTTCTTTGTTTTAAAATAAATTTTTTATAATTGAGAAATTAATAAGTTTAGTATTTTCATTCGGCAAAATAATTTTCATAAATAACATTACATAATTTTTTCAATAATATTTTAAGTAAGCATTATTTAATTATTTAAAATAATTTAGTAATCATTTTGTGAAAAATTAATATTGCATTTATATTTTCATTTTTGTTTTTTTTTTTTTTTTTTTTTTTAATTTAGTATTTTTAATATATACATTTTTTATTGATACTATAATTTTGGGTACTTTACCCGGATATAGTTACCTTATTACGTGGCAATCATGAATCACGACCAGTTAATAAGCAATATGGATTTTATGTGGAATGCACAAGACGGTTAATAACTTCAAAATAATTAATAAATTTAATGCTGAGATTTGGTACTTTCGAAAATTTAAATTTTACATATTTTTTGGAACAAATAAATAAATAAATAGTAGTAATAAATAATGATGACAAGTTGCAATAATTCGCAAATTTTGATTAGTTTTTTTTAAAAATACACAGACGAATTATTATCTTTAAATTTTAATTAAAGAAATAATTTAGTGAAGAAGTTTGCAAAAAAAAAAAAAAAAAAAAAAAAGGAAACAGAATTGAGCAGTAGTTGTTACAATTTTCGTCTTAAAAATTTGTCAAATTAAAAAATAAAAATTTGAAACATTATCCTATTAATATTTCATTGTTTTTCAAACTTTCTTTTTTATTAGTAATTTAATTTGGATTTTACTAATAATATTTAATATTATCACTCGTTTACATTATCCAATTATCAATTAATTGTCATTGCTTTATTTTGTAACAAATAAAATTTTATTTTAATTTAAAAAAAAAAAAAAATTAAACAGAAGAATTACTAATATATCACATGATTAACTTATAATTACTCAATAATTCCATTACAGTTATTCGGTGGTACTTTATGAATGTTTCCAATTTGCATTCTACTGCATGCCATTTTGCGCACGCATATCAAAGACAATAATGTGCATGCATGGTGGTATTAGTGAAAGCTTAGTTAATTTTTCACAGGTTTATTTGAAATAATAATTTTTTTTGTTTATTTAATAAACAACAAAAAAAAAAAAAAATTCTATTTTATTTTTTATAAAATTTCAAGAAATAATACTAAATTGAAATTTTGTATCAAATATATCATAAAATACAAACTTTATTGGCAAAATATTTCATACACAAAACCTACTTTGCTCGTACTAACTAATATAATCTCTTTTACATTATGTGTTTTAAAATAAAATAAAGAAATTAAAATTTTTTTTTGTAGAAAATAAAATTTTGATTTATCAAAATTGGAAGTTTTTTTTTTTTTTTAGATTGCAAAAATTGAACGACCATGTGATATTCCGGATATGGGTTTGCTTGCTGATTTAACATGGTCTGATCCTGATCCGGCTGTATCAGGTTATGAGGAAAGTCCACGTGGTGCAGCTAGTGTGTTTGGTAGTGATGCATTAAAAGCATTTTGCGATCAACTTGGATTAGAACTTATTATTCGAGCTCATCAGGTTCAAATATTTTTTCCTATTTTCTTCCTTCTTTTGATAAAAATTATTATTACTATTATTATTATTGTCATTATTATTATTATTACTATCATTATTATTATTACTATTATTATTATTACTATTACTATTATTATTACTATTATTATTATTATTATTATCATTATTATTACTGCTATCACTACTATTATTTTCAGGTGGTTCAAGAGGGTTATGAATTTTTCGGCAATCGCCGATTAGTCACCATATTTTCAGCGCCAAATTATTGTGGTCAATTTAATAATGCAGCTTGTGTAATGAAAATTTCGGAAGATTTAGTAAATACTTTTTTTTTTTTACTATTAACAAATTCTTTTTTTTCAACAGATATATATTAAAGTTATTAACAGTAATCAAAATAAAAGAAAAAAGGAATTTAATTAAATTCCTTTTAAAATACTAAATAAATTTAAATTAAGTGCAAAGAATACAGTATGTATTATAATTTAATAATTGAATAAAAAAAGCTTTCGTTATTAAAATTATTTCATTAAATATTTCTATCAGTGATTTTAAATATTCTATTGAAAATGATTAGAAATTTTTTGAACTTTTTTCGTTTCTTTTTTAATTTTTCACTTTTTTGTTTTGTTTTGCTTTGTTTTTTCGTTTTCAGGAAATTTCATTTGCAATACATCGGCCAAAAAGATCCTAAAATGATATTTTGTATACTCGTCATTTTATAATAAATGAATTATTATATTTAAAAAATAAAATTTTATTATAAAACATTAAATTATTATACATTATTATGCATTTTTTTTTTTTTTTTGTTTTATATTTGCTATTTTTTCTTTTTTGAAAAAAAAAAATTTCTTTTTTTTTCTAATTAAAATACAATATACATTAATATAAAATCATAATAATATCAATATTTCATTCAATTTTACAACAATTTCTTGTTGCTTTTTTTAAATAATAATTTTTTTTTCTGAGTAAAATAAAATTGTTCACAAAATTTTGGCAAAAGGATGTCCAAAAACAATTAATTAAGTTTTTTTTTTTTAATCTTAAATTATAAAATGATAGCTATGTAAATTATTTGATTAGAAAATTTTTAGTGTAATTAAATTGAATATTAAATAATTGTTGGTGGAAAAAAAAAAGCAATTGCTGGAATATAAAATAGAAAGAGCATAAAAGGTTTACAATAAAGAGAATAATGGATAAAAAAAAAATTTTTTTTTTTTGTTTTATTTTTTTATTTTTTTTTTATTTTGTATGAATAAACTTTTCATTGCTTCCAGAAAAGCAAATTACAAATCAATTTGAGCAATATTTTAAGTTAAATTTTCCATTTAAATTCTTCAACACTCTTTAAATCATTAATTTTGCTGATTAAAATGACTGAAGAAAAATGAAACATTTTCTTCCTTTTTTTTTGTAAATATAAATTAGATTTTGCTTTTATTGAGAGAAATTTTACAAAATAACTTTTTCTTCTTTAATACTTTTATTAATAATTGCAAATAATTCTTAATGGTTACTTTTGTTTACAATATTTTTTTACTTAACTTATCCATTTGAAATTTTAATATATTATCAAAAAAAAAAAAAAAAAAACTTATCAATAAAAAGAAGATACTTTGAGTTATATGCTAGATAGTAATATTATGGAAAAATTATATATTATCTTAATTGATCTCATAAATTATCATATCATTTCTTTCAATTTCAATATTAAATTTTTTTTTTTTTTTTTGTATTTTTTACTTTTGAATATTATGAGCTTAAAAAGTATTCGTAGAAATTTTTTTAGTATATGTTTTTTTTTTTTAATTATTTATTTACTATATAATATGATGACAACATATTCAATTAATTTGGAATTAATATTTCATTTAAATGATGAAAGAAATAAAATGATTATTCCTGAATTTATTTCTATAAATAATATTTGTTTTTTCTATAACTATCTAATTGCAATATTTTCTTCTTACAGAGTTATAAATTTAAATAATTTGTCCATTCATTTAAATTTATCAGTTTTTCAATGAAAAAGGATATATTTCAAAAAAAAAATTTTTTTTTTTCAATAAGTCATAAAATCATTATACTATAAAATCAATACAAGTGATAAAATCATTTAAGAAAAAAAATGATAACGTTAATTGAAACAAATTTAAGTGATAAAAGTGTGTCATTTTCTTTTTTAAATACATTTTTCAAGAAAAAAATTACTGAAAAAATGGTAAAATTGTAAATTAAAACATTACCATAATATAATTTAATTAATTAAAACATTACCATAATATAATTTAATTAATTAAAACATTACCATAATATAATTTAATTAATTAAAACATCACCATAATATAATTTAATTAATTAAAACATTACCATAATATAATTTAATTAATTAAAACATTATCATAATATAATTTAATTATTTCTTTTTGAATGATTTCAATTTGATTTTTTCAAAAAGAAATTTTTTTATTGCATATCAAATTTATTTCTTTTTCTTTTCCTTTTTGTTTTATTTATCATTCCATAAAATTTTAATGATATATGAGAAAGTATTATATTGTTTAATTCAAAATTGGAAAAAAAATTTTTGATTGTTAAATATTTTTATCAGATTATAATGGTTTGCTTGCATATGCATTGTTTGTTAAAATAGAGAGAGAAAAAAATGGGTAAGGGGAGGGGAAAAATGAGAGAAAGGGGAAGAGAAAAAAAGAGAGAGGGGAGGGGAAAATGGGAGAAAGGGGAGGGGAAAAATGAGAGAGAGAGGGGAAGGGGGAAAAAAGGTTTTTTTGATTCATTTAATGCTGCAAATGTTTACACAACTGACTTATTTTTCTTTTTTTTTTCACCTATTACTGTCTTTTGCTTTATATAAATTTAATGCTGCATTAGTTATAGAAGAAAAAAAGCTAAAATTAATGATAATAATTAATAATAATAATGATTATTAATAATAATAATTAATAATAATAATTAATAATCAATAATAATAATAATAATAATAGCAAGAATGTAAGCAAAATAAATAATTTGAAATCAATGTAAATTATTTGTTTAAATGAAATATAATTCAATCGAATTTTGTTCCATTTAGCAAAAGAAAGAGAATGACGAGAGGAAGAGAAGAAAGAATGAAAAAAAAAAAATAAAATTTCCATTTGATTTATTTGCTTTTATCATTTTTGTTTTTGTCAAGTTTAATTCAAGCGCTTTACTCATCCAATATTTATCCATCTTTTTTCTTTTTTTCTTTCTTTTTAATGCAATATATTAATTTATAATTTGATTATGGATATTTAAATTAAATAATGTCATTTCAAATTTTAATTAAAATTAAAAGATAATTATTAATCATATTTGAAGTGCAGAAAAATTTCTCAGATTAATTTTTTCTTTCTAGCGGCTTTTATCCAAGGAGTAATGAATAAAAGATGATGCTAACGTCAAATAAGCATTTTTTTATTTATACTAAAGTTTTTTTTTTTTTTTTTTAAAAATTAGTTTTTATGAGAGAGAATTAAGTGAAAGGGAGAGAGAGAGAGAGAGAGAGAGGTAGAGGAAGGAAGAAAAAAAGTCAGAGAATATTTTTTATACAATATTTTCAAATTGACCTACGTATACTTCTTTTATTTTTTTTTTTTCTTCTTTATCATATATTTGCATTTTAATTGATATTTTTTTTTCAAACCATTTATTTATTTAAAATGAAGTGTTTCCTTTTTTTTTTTTCAATTTTACTTTCTCTCTTTCACACTCTTTTTTCTTTCTTTCTTTTTCTCTTTCTCTCTCTCTCTCTCTCTCTCTCTAGACACCTACATAGCAGTATTTTAAAAATTTTAAAATATAATTGCATTAAATTTTAAAATTATTTACCTGATTTAAATTAGGTGATAAAAAAAAAATGTGCGACTTCAGCAATTTTTAAAATTTCAATCAAAAATAGAAATTTGCTTACTTTTAAATGATGAACAGTATGCATGTGAATATGAATGATATTCACATGATAAGTTTTTTTTTTACATGAAATGTTACTTATGTTTAATTCCAAACAAAAAAAAAAAAAAAAGAAAAGAAAGAGAAAAAATTTCAAAAAATTAAACTGAGAGAAAAAAAAATTGAAATATAAATAGATGAATGTATGATAATTATTAATATAAATTAAAAAAAAATGATAACAATAATAAAAATTAATGTAATTAAAATTGATAGTGAAAATTCAATAATATAATAATTTATGCAATGATATAAAGAAAATTTTAATATCTTATTTTTATACAAAGTATTTTCATTTCTAATTATTTCATTACTGTAATAATAAGCGTTATTAATATATTATAGTATTAATAATGTATAAATATAAAATTTATTAATACTGTATTGTTAGATTAGTACTATTATTATTATTATTTTTCATATGATTGCAAAAATTGTAATTTTAACAATATATCTTCTTTCAAAATTTTTTTAATTAGTTATTAGATTTAATCCAAAAATTAATTTTTATTGCATCTAAGGTTTATTACTTTATCAAATGTTATTTACTTAAAATTTTTTTTTTTTAAATTTTAACAATATTTATAAATAATAATTATTTTTTTTTATAGCATTTCATAATGTAAATTATATTTTCAATATTATCATTTTCATTGAAAATTATCATTCTTCCTTTTGAGTTTAGCAATAAAAGTGAATCATTTGGTTGCTTTTTGCATTTCTCGTTTCAATTTTTATTTTTAGCAATTAATCAATTTTTTATACGAATTAAATTTTCTTATTTGATTAATAAAACTGATGAACAAAGAAAAAAATCAATAAACTTGGGATATTTTTTTTTTTTTTACAATATATTATTATCATTGCTTCTTTTATTAAATTTAAAAAATTTTTGCAAGAAAATTTTTATAAGTGAAAAATTTAATTAATTAATTATCACTAAGTAGGTTAATTCACAATTAGTTAAAATATTTCACACACATATATATATATACATATATATATATATATAATTTATTTGATTAATTATTTATTTGTTTTTTATTCATTTTATTTATTTATAAGCATATGAGTAAATCTATAAATAAATAAATAAATAAATAAAATTTTTTGCTATAAATTTAAGTTTATATTATACCTACACTATATTTTATTGCATTTGCAATACTGCATGCATTTTTCATGCATACTAAACATAAAAATATCAATTTACATATGCTATTAGCTTGTCCATCAACAAAGGATTTTTTCATTTTATAATAAAAAAAAAGTTTTTTTTTTTTTTTTCACCAATTCAAAATTTTAAAACGAAATTTTATTTTATGTATAAAATATATGTATCAGCTACAGTGCTAAAATTCTTTACTGTATTTGTTAAAGTTCATCGCCAGTTAATCTTATCATTTTTCAAATTATTTATTGCTTTTGGATAATAGTTTTTGTTTGTTATTAAAAATGCGTAAAAGAATTGAAAAGTGAATGGAAATTAAAAATGGAAAGAAAAAAAAAAGGAAAAAAAGGGAAAAATAAATCTTTGATTAAACGATAATTTGAAAAAAAGAAAATTTTTTTTTTTTAAATAAGTGAACTAATTTTCATGCAAAAAGCAATTAAATCTTATTTTACTTTCATAATTATAAATAAATTACTGTTACTAATAATTGAGCTTAAAAAAAAAGTTTTTTGTTTTTTTTTTCTTTTTTTTAAATTAATTTATTAAAATTTGTTAATAATTAATGTATAAAATTGCTGAATAAAAAAGTATAAAGTATAATGTTTGAAGCGAAAAATTCATTATATAAATTATTTCATTGTTGTAAAAAATTTTGCTCAAATTTACTCAAAAAATTTTTCATATTTATCTTTATTTTAAGTTTTAAATTTTGCTCTATGAACATGTCGAATTTTTGAATAAATTGTAGATATGTGTTTTCAAATAATGAATTGAAAGAAGAGAGAAAGTGGATGATAATTAGTAATTTGAGTGATAATGATAATAATTAGACTCTAAACTCAAAAACATGTAAACAATAAATCGAATGTGAAAATGTTGATTGGTTTAAAATTGAGATTTATAATGAAAACTTAATTGACATAAGCAAATATATATGTATTATTTCATTTCTGTTATTTTTGAAATTAATTTTCTAATTTTAGAAAGTATTCTAATTACTTAATTAAAAAATAATTTCTGAAAAGAGAAAGTTTTCTGATTATGTCAGTGCCAATGTTAAAGTGCATTACTGATAAATGTTTATTTCAGTACTCATGTATAAGTGTAAACAAGTATATTTATTTGTAAATAAATCTTGTATATTTTCTCATATAATCCAATTCAAAATATCATTTATTTAAAACCATTTGTAATTTTTGTGACTTACTTTTATGTCATTTAATTTTAATAGCTTTGTTTACAAATTATTTCTTTCAAATTATTTTCTTTTTTGTTTTGTGTTCAAATTATTTCTAAAAGGAACGAACTGTTTGCTTAATTTAATTCTTCCTTTCTCGTTTTTTTTTTTTTTTTTAATTTTTTATTACTTTTAACAATTATTAACTTCATTTAAAGTTATTGATTTTTTGAATTTAAATGAAGATAAATTAATCATTTCATAACATTTAACAATAATTTCGCGTTTTTTTTTCAGATATATTTTAATTGAATACAATAAATGTAATAATATCCAAAAAGAATTGCATCGAATTCCGCTGACATTTTTAATTTCTTTAATTATGACTAAAGGTATATTTTAATTAACATTTATTTTCTTTCTTTGTTTTTTCTCTCTCTTCCTGCATTATTCATTATTTGATTTATTAATTTTTATAAAATTTAGCAAAGCTAATTAGTTTGATTAGCAGAATGATTTTGTTTTTCAATTAGTTATTAAAACAAATAAAAATTTTGTTAATTAATTGATCGGTTAATAAATGAATTAGATTTTTACGGTTTGTTTAAATTTTCTGACCAAATAATGTATCAAATTTAAACATCAATTTTTATTTGCAATGTAAATTTTCTTGTAATTTTTTTTTTCTTATTATCTTTTTCTTTTTTATCACTTAGATAAAAATCACTTAGATTTTTTTATCACTTTTTTTATTACTTTATTACTTTTTATCACTTAAATTATCACTTAGATTTATCACTCAGATTTTTGCTTTGAATGAATTTGCATATTTTTTTTTTCTTTTTACCAGTAAAGAGAGACGTACGAAAAAATATTTCTTATGTTTTTTTAAAAGAAAAAAATTTTTTTTTTTTGTATTTTTAAAAAGTTTAATTTTTCTACCATAAATTTATCATTTAATTATAGAATAAAACAATTTATCAGACATACTGTAGGTATATTTCTTCCAATAACTAATATAACATTATTCATAATTCATAATTATTATAATTTTGGAAGAAAAAAAAATTTATAATAATTATCATAGATAGTGATAATAATGAGGAGAATCATTATTATAAATGTGGCATACGTCTTAACCATGTAAAAGTATTGGATGATAATGATTTTAATTATATCAACGAATTATGCGAAAATCATTCTGGTTGGAATATAGCATATAATAAAGATATTATTAAAATATGGACGAAATCAGTGCCAAATTCCAATCTTCATATGATTAAGGTAATTGTTAATTTTTTAATTAATAATTTTTCATTTTACTCAAATTGTTACAGTTTGTATTTTAAATGTATAAATACGAAGTATATTTACTAATGTAATATTAATAATTTTTTTTTTCTTTTTTCATCCTATATTATTTCATTTTAAATAAATATTTTTTATCTAGTCTAATTTTAAGAAAATTTAAGGAAAAAAAAATGGATTTATTGCTGAATTATATTTCAATTGGAAATTAATTTCTCTTCTAAAATATAAAAAAAAAAAAAACGAAAGGAAAAAGTGAAATGAAAGTTATTGCTTTTTTTTCATGATTAATTTATTATACATTTTGCAATTAGTCAGAATGAATCTTTGATCCCTGAAAGTACCATATGAATTTTTGAGAATTTTGAAAAGAGTATAAACCAACAATACATCGGTCAACAAATGTTGCTTTCTTTAGTTCAAATGATTGAACTCTTCATTCACATAAACAAACCATTCGTTTCCAATTGATAATCTGAACACTTTAAGAAATTTAGCATTTTATTGAGAAATTAGTTAAAATTAATTTGTACCCATTTAGCATCAATTTTGAAAACAACTCTCGAAGTTATGTGCAAATAAGACCTGGAAAGATACCTAAAATTGATAGAATCTCATCTCAACTTTTGGAAGCATTCAAGAAGTTTATTGTGAACTCCCTTCTATCATATCTCCCTGATCATCAGAGATCTCTCTACTACTGACAAAATTCTTGAAAAGATACTTCAAAATAGAATAATACTAAGGTATTGCAATTATCTGAGAATAAATATCATAGCTGTAATGCTTTTATTAGCTCATAAATCACATTTAGCTCTTAAATTTTTATTTTACATAAGCTTTTTTAATTTTTTAATTTTTTTTTTTTTTGAAATTATATAACTTTTGTTAGCCATACAAAATTATTTGACACCATGAACAGAAAACATTTATGGCAAATCTTGCAGTGACTAGGATGTCACATAAATTTCTCAGAATAATCAATCAACTTGTTGTACGAAAATGAGTCATAATAGTTCATAGTTCACTTTCTCAGTTTTTCGCAATAATCAACGGTGTGAAATAAGTTTATACGTTTTTACATTCTCGATTATACGGACGGAAGTTTAGTCAATCGGCTGAAACTCTCGAATACCTTATTTCATCATACCTAGGACATATCATCGATTTTCATCAATAGTTCATTGCAAATTTAAATGATGAGACATGGAAACACGAAGACTTGTCATCCATCATTATCTTTGACTTGTCTCGTGGAAAAAAAAAAAAAAAAAAAAGTGGACGTATTAAAAAATCTATTTGCTTAATTGGTCAACAATTTTTATGTCTATTTAAAAAAAAGAAAAAGGACTTTTTTTGTTTTGAATGAATAGAAATGAGTAATTTTCTTTTTTTTTTTTCACAAAAATTTATTATTATATCAATTATAACATTATTAATTTACATTTATCATTTTAAATTTAATTATTTGATAATATAATTTTAGGCTAAAGCAATATTAATTGATGTATCAGCTTCAACTATCTATGATGTTTTACATGATTCACAGTACAGGCCTAATTGGGATAAATATCATATTGAAACTATCGATATAGGCTTAATTAATCCTAATAATGATATTTGTTATTATGCTGGTAATAATTTTTTTTTTTTTTTTTTCATACTTCCATTAAAAAATTTTTAATTCTTTTCATTCATTCATTCATTTTGATAGAAATAATATAAACCAAAAATTATTTCATGAAAATTAAAAACTTAAACACTCAATTCTTTTTATTTATTTATTTAAAAATTTAATATGAAAAGATAATGATAGAGAAATAGGGGAGAATTTGTGGAAAGGAAAAAAAAATATTTGAATTAAAATTACTCATATTTTTTTTTTCCTTTTTCTTTCTTAATATTAATAAAAAGTTGATAAAATCTTGAAATATGTGTATTTTTTTTAATTATGAGATTTGATTTTAATCTAAATTATTAAAAACAAAAAATTATTAATTTCAAAATAACAAAAAAAAAAATCTGATTTCAAAAATTTTTTTAAAATATTTTGCTAAAGAGACATTAAAGCCTCTTTAGCTTTTTTATATTATTTAATATTAAAAAAAATTTCCAAATTTTATTCACTTAGCTTTTATATTGATAAATAAATTAAATTTTAGTAGGAGGTATGCCACCGTTACAAGCTCGAGATTTTGTCTTACAACGATCATGGTTAGATACTGGTAAGGAGAAGTATATTTGTAGTCATTCAGTATGTCATAAGGTAGAGTTAACTTATTTCTATAAAATTAGTAAATTTTTTTATCAGCAAAATTAAGCAATTTGTAAAATTCTTATTTGTTAATTTCATCATTAATCAAAAAATAAAATGAATAAATTTTAATTTGACAATTTCTGTTTAGTTAGAAGATTTTAAATAATTTGCAGCAGTAATTATAATTAATATAGTGAAAAATTCATTGTTATTATTAATTCGAAAAAATTCGAGAAAAACTAGGAATATTTCACATAAGCCATAGATTTTATAATTTAAATTATTTTTAGATAATTTAGAATTCTTTTATACTTCTCAAATAGTTCATTTTTCTGTAATTAACATTGTAAAAGAAAGTTAACAATAAATCTGTAATAAATGCTACTTAAATTTTTTTCTTTCTTTAATTCAAATCTATGATTAAAATATAATTTATAATAGATTTTCTACAACTAAGAAAAAAAAAATGTATATTTTAAATAGAAGCTAAAAACAAGATTTGATTTTCGATTTTGATAAAAATTTAATTCAAAAATTTCTAGCAATACAAATATGAAATAATTGAAGTGGAATAGATGATAATGATCAGAGGTTGAAGCTAAAATAAAGGCTAATTTAACAAGAATTGATGAATATTTTTAATATTTTTTTTTTTTTTTTCATATTGCAATTATGTTTTTATTATTTTAAATAAATGTAAAAAAGAAATACAAATTTTCAGAAATATCCACCTGCTAAAGGATATATCAGAGGTGTGGTACATTTGACAGCATATCATATACGTGATATGGGTCAAAACGGTTGCCAAGTTACCTATGTCAATCATTCAGATCCAAAAGGTATGTCTATTTAATCATTCATTAATTCATCCTGCAATAATTTTAATCTATCAGTTGAATATTTTTATTTGGATAATAACAATTTGAAATTTATACATCAATTAAAGCTCATTTAGCTTTTGTTAGTTAGAAACAAATGCTTAACATAGTTTATTTATAATTTTTAAAGCAAAATCAGATATGTTTATTATTATTATTTAAAAATTTCTGAAAATTAACCAACTTAACTTATTGAGATCAAATATTCTTTATTTTTTGTTTCAAATAAAAGCAATGCTATTTTTTTTTTTTGGCAATAGAAGTAGTTAATAATAATGAGAATAATAAATTGTTTTAAAATTTGAACATGTATCTACTATAATTTGTTTTTATTTTGTTATAATTTAGTGATATTTTTTTTTTTTTTTAATTATAAAGTAGCAATCATTTTTTATTTAAAAACAATTTTGAACCTTTGGAAAATTATAATTTTAACAAAATGCTTATAAAATCCCATTTACTGCTTAAATTTAGCAAAATAAGTAAAAGAAAAAGAAAGTCTTAAAACTTTAGCATATTTTTTCTCTGCTGAAATGGAAAACATTTCTTTTAGGATTTTAAGTTTGTTAATTGAAAAATACTTGACTTATCTTTTTAAAGTATTAATTTAGCTATTATTCCAAATGAAAGTAATGATAATTTTTTTATCATTAAACTTAAATACAATAATATTTTTTATTCTATCTTGATTTTAAAATTTCATAAGTTATTTTCATTAATTACTTTATCATAAGATATAAAATTATTTCAAGATTATAATTTCAACATATGTGTATGTGTTTTTTTCTTCGTTTTTTAGGCAAAGTACCAACATGGCTAACCAATCATTTCGCTAAAGTTATTGGACCAAAGTTTATCAGAAAAATACACAGAGCTTGTCTAAAATATGAACATTGGAAGCAAAATAATTGTCCTAATTGGAAGCCATGGATTTATCCAGAACAACAAGTTATTGTCTATCTAATGATATTGTTTAATCATTTTCAATTTTTATTCTAAGATTTAAAAAGCAAAATGAAAGAATGGAGAAGAATATGATTCTATTTAACACTATTATGGTAAAAATATTCAAAAAACGATGAAAATTACCATTGTAACTTTTATTGAAATTTTCTAGATCGTTCTAAATGTTTCTATTTAGAAAAATTTTTTTCTTTAAAATTTTTTCTTTTTTTTTTTAAAAAATTTAATGATTACTTGCAGATTAATTTGATGCGTATAAATCTTTCTGATTGTCAACCAGCAAAATATAATATTAATGAAGTTCTAACCGATATCGATGAAAGTGGTATCATTTGTGATTGTGTTGATGCAGACAGTAACAGTGATGAAGATTAATTAAATTAACTTATATCATTTCAATCTTTTTTTATTTATAAATCATTGCAATTATATTTTAAAAGATAAAAATGAATAAATCAGTTTTTTTTGTTTTACTCCATTCATTAAAAATGAAAGTTCACGCAAAATTTTGCTATCACAGTTTGATCACATGAAACATATGTCAAGCAATAAAAAAACGACCAGTTATTGAATAAAATTAAGTTTTAAAAATATTTTTTAAAATAACAAAAAAGAATTTTTGAAATATTATAATTATAGTAATTCAAAAGGCAAGAAAAGAAGTAATAAAACAAATATAAATGAACAAATGAGATTATTAAAACGTTAAAACTTAATAATAATTGAGAAAATACTTTGAAAACTCGAAATATATAAACGCAATAGCTATAAGTTGATTCAAAAAATAAAAATAAAAACAAAAAATTGAAAAAGCGAAAACTAGTAACAGATGGATTGTAATTTGCTTATACATCAACAGAAAATAACTTTACCTAAGTATCAGACCATTTAAGGTAAAAAAAAAAGAAAAAAAAAAACCAAAATAGAAGGATCATTTTGCACAATTCAAAACTCGAATTCAAAAGTCATTGAACTCGAAAGCGAAACACTTTTTTTTTTTTTTTTTTTTGTTATTTAGCTATTACTATTTCTATTGTTAGATGAAATTTTAGAATAAAATATCAGAGTACTTAATAAGATCTCTCTTCGATTAATTAATTGCAATTAATGAGCAAGAGATGTCGAATTAAAAATCATAAAATAATTTTTCATGCTATTTTTTCATTCAAATAGCTTTATTCGAAACATAAATATTAAATATAACAAGTGCTAATACTAACATATTAGATTAAATGAAGGTATACTGTACATTCTTGATGATATATTTGTAAATTTAATCATATATTTTTCAAGCAGATTTTTGAACTTATATTCAAAATTTTTGGTTCATTTAATGGCATATCGCAATATTTCGACCCTCAATTAGTATGCTGACTAAGCGTTTGAATTTATTAATTCAATTCAACCAGTTTATGAAATAGTTTGGATTGTCAAAGAAAAAAAAAAAGCAAAAAGAGAAGTGAAATATTGCTTACAAATAGTATAGTTGTAATGCTTATTATAATAATTGGAAATTTATTTGCATGTAAATTGACAAATGAAATGATTGAGTGAGCTTTGTGAACTAAAAAAAAAAAAAAAAAAAAACTCTTCTGTAAAATTTGCTTGCATATTATTTGCGCAAATAATCAATTAGGTAATAAACTGATATGACATAATCTAATTTTTTTAATAATTTAATAATTACGATATATACTTACTTGAAAGTTCTTCATGGCAAATTAGTTGCTTGTTATAAAATTCACTAGTAGCGATAATAATAATTGATAAAGCGATAATAATTGATAATGGTAAAGATGCAAAATAGATACGAGAATGGGAATTTTACTACATTGAAATATGAGAAATATTAATAAATGAAGGAATGATAATATGCATATAAAACAAAATAAAGAATGAATGATTTATAAATAACTGATAATAATGATAATAAAAACAATTGAAGTGTTATCAGCAATGAAAAATATGCATAAATAATAAAATTTTGACTAATACAAAAAATACAGATAATTCAATAACACTGGAAATAACAGATGGGAATTCAGACATACAATACAATTAAATTTTGCACCCTAAATGAATTTTTTATGCTTATTTTTCAAAATTGCAAGATATAAAAGAAAATTTTTCTATAATGTAAAAAAGAAAAAAAAATTGTTTATAAAATTTAAATAGTATGAAATTTTTCCAGATGACGCTTTATAGTCCATGAATGACTGAATGATTTCTTGCACAAAGGACAAATATATTTCTTTACATTGGGATGATGCATCATATGTTCACTAAATCTTTTCGTCACCTTCTGACATATGCTACATTTAAATTTCTTTCCATATCTTATCATTGTCAGCTCATCTTCCTTAGCTTTCTTTTCTTGAGAAAGTAACTTCGATAATTCTATTCGTTTTTTAAGCGCCTCTATGACAAAAAAATGGTATATTTTTTTTAATTTTAATTTCTTTTCTGAAGCTGATAAATCCAATGATTCTGGTGATTTTTCAATTTCGTCGTCGATTAAAATATGCTGTTGTTGTTCCTCACTTATTTTTGTCATTGATAAATCCGGCTCTGTTTGCACCGTTTGTGCTTCCTTAAATTATACAAAAATTATCAGTGTTTTCTTTATTAAAATTATAAAATTATTTAAATATTACAGCACAGCGTTTTATTTCAATAATTTTAAATAAACTTACAGTAGTTTGAGTGTTACTCAGTTGGAAGAAGAAGAAGAGGGCAAAATGAATGAAGTGCATATTGATGCGAATAATTTTACTTGCCAATTCCAAAAAAAAAATATATATATATATTCGAATTTATTAGTGTATTATTTTTAAGAAATAACATTGTCTGTCTTTTTAACAAATTATGTTGAAAGAGAAATTCCTCCCAGTAAATTATTTTTAAAATTAATAGCATTGAAAAAGAGATATAAGTACGATATAAGTGTAATATGACATTTGGCATTAAGCAATAAACATAACAACTGATTTACGTTGGCGATCCATCTCAAAGGTCGATCCAAAATTTAACATAATTAATATGTTAGCGCATAATTTTGTTTTTAAGAAGAATGCTTTATTTACACGAAAATTTTCAAAAATTTTTCTCATAACATCAAGTTGACATTTTCTATTGAAACTAATGAAATGAAATTTGTAAAAAAAAAAAGTTTGGCAAAAACCGTCCAAACATTTCTGCTAGATAATGCTAATGAATTTCATGGTATTTATGCTTATTCAGATGGAAAATTTGCCTCCATTGATAATGAAATAGATGTATTGATAATGATAATATTGTATTGACAGGTTTTAGCAGCAAAGATCTATAACAATATGATATTAACAATTAATTCTTTGCATTGAATAACTTCATTTCATTTGTTACATTTGTGAAAAAAATATTTTATACAAAGCAGTTGAGATTATTTTTTGCATAATTTTATTTCATTTTGCTTTAATTTTTCAACACATTAAAATTGAAGTAGTATTAACGAGAAAAAAAGATTGCATTGTTGCAATTTTATCAAATTTCTCTAAAACTTTATATGTGTGTGTGTGTTTGTGCATGTGTGTTTATGCATGGGTAATATTAAGTATGTTAAAATTTTTATTATTAAAAAAAAAATTTTTTTTACGTGACATAAATGTAACAAATTCAGCTATCAAATAAATTATACTTGATTAATGATTATCAAAAAAACATAAACTTCAAATATAACAAAATAAAAAAAAAAATTTAAGCACTGAAAGGAAGAAGAAAATGCTGTAAAATTCCACTTCAAAATTGTTTTATAAATGCTAGTATTTGATAGCATCTGAAATGCTAAGTCAAAAGTTACCTATGTTAGTCAAAAGTTAGCGATCTATGCGAGTGTATTACTATTTTACATGAATAATTCGCTCTTCCAAAACTGAAAGATAATTGAGGAAGAGCAAAAAAGAAGAGTGCAAGCATGAGCTCCGATTTTCTTTTTATTAATGGCGAAGAAATGAAGAATGATAATTTATATAAATATTTTATCTACGCTCCCTTTGCTAACTTTTAATCAAATTTAAAACAAATAGTAACTCAATTGTAAGTTTTGCTTATTTCTTTTTCTTAGCATTTTTTTTTTTTTGAGCAAATTCAAATCGTTATTTAGCATTGTTATTACATTTTATATATTAACATGTTGGATTTATGATCCAACCATCAATTTGGTTATAGATGATTTTTTACCAAAATTATTAATTAATTGTTGAGTTATTCTCAGTTCAAATGCAAATGTCTTTTAGAAATTTTTAGTACTTTGACATAGTATTATAATTTACTTTACTGAAGTCGCGATTAATAATTTGAAGAACAAAGTGAAAATTAATGTATTTGTTGTGAAATACGGTCTGATTGAAAATATAGCATAGAAATGAATAGTTGTTGCTTTGCTGAGGAAAGACGTTTGATCAATCTTTATTTTATTGAGATAAACATTATTTATAAACACTAGTCATTGAACAATATTAGAAAGTTTAAGGAAGTAAATGTAAGGATGCAGTGAATGCCTAACCTCAATAAAAGCTATAATTCCTTATGTAGTAAACATTAACTCATAATAAGACGAATGATCTTCAATACCATAGAAGAGATCAGATAAACAAAGTGCTTCTATCTTACCGGTTCTAATCTACTTTGCAGTCAGTAAGGAATTAACAAATAACAAAAGAGGTCAATTAAATAAGAAGCTAATAATTGTAAACAAGCTAATTTGGGGACAAATTCCAACACTTATAAACTGATTTTGAACTTATTTGACACTTTTTTTTGGAATTATACTCTCATCCAATTTGATCTTTGAAAAATAAAACAAAAGACAATCTATAAAAACTTTGAGTAGGAATACATTTAAAATGATGAAATATAAGAATATGTAATACCAACATTATTTCTAATTTATTTTTAACATTATGACATTATAATTATTATTGGCCATTAATTAACACATCGAAATTTTTTTTTAAATCATGCAATCAGCAACACTTTTTCTTGCGTGACAATGAAATCGATCAAAATATAATTTTATGAAATTTTAATAAAGATGAAAATTAAAATCTTTTATTATAATAAATTTATTTTGAGCTTATTTGGCATTCTTTGTCAAATTTTGCCTTTCATCAGGCATGATCTGCTCATATGCTGTCACTATTTGAAATATTTTTGACATTCTGCTTGACATTGCCGATTGGATATGGTTTTTCTTCTTCTAACACAATTCAATAACATTAGAGAATATTAATTGAAATGTTGATAAAGTAATAGAATAACTAATACGATTTGAATTTGTTTCAACACAAAAGTGAGTTTTACTTCCTAAATTATATATTAAAAATGATTGAAGACTTTCAGTTAACGTCAATTTTAACTATTTTCAACGATAACAATAGTAATTTTTTTAAATTTTGCGACGTTAGTAAACAATTGCTTCGCAATGCTAATAAGGTGACAAATTTGAAATTCTTTTATTAAAGTATTTTGAACAAATTTTTCATTTAGTTTATCATTACGTCCTAATTTTTCCTTTTTCCAAGTTGTTCACTGTCAAAGCAAAGGTGGAACACTGGTATTGCTGGTAAAACTAAATCATAATATGCAGAAATAAAATTATATCCATAGAAGCAAAGACTATCTTGCTTGAAATTTCTTGAACAAATGTTCCAATGTCATTTTACAACGCAACGCAAATGAGTCAATTGAGATTTATCAACAATTATCAGATAAGTTGTCAGTCCAGGAAGGAGTAACGACAAAGCCGCAACGCTTCAAAAAAGTATTGCGATGCATTTTATTTCTCAAACTAATCCATTTGTGTACCATTCAAACAGAACTAAAACCTCGCCCATCCCTGAATTAAGCATTTCCTATGACAGATGATACAATGTTTAGTCCCCATTGACAATACCTTCTTTCACTTGGTAATTTCTTGCCGAACATCACTTAATCCCACACAAACTATGTGCACAACATAGTTGTGTTTGCGTGATATTGAAAACAGTATTTTCAATATGACGCAAACACATCTACCAATCCTGACTAAGATAGGGCAAATCCCTTGCCCATAGTCCGACTTTTTCTAATCTCATTTAATTTCATGTGCTCAACAAGCTGATAACTTTCTCATACTTTATTCGTCTATTTCTCACTACATTAAAACCGTATAAAAATGAGAAATATACAAAACATCTCGAAATCACATAGTACTCCAAACTTTTTTCTTCAAATCAACGCCAGTGCTAACACTTAACAAGCTTTAGACAATTAACTTACCCGAAGATTCTGACGAATAATTCCTGTAATTATTCATCTTATTTCTCCTTTTCTAGAACTGTAACCACTCACGGATTTCCAGTTACTAAAAATATAAAAATAATACTGTCACTTTTTGGTGAAAAAACACGTAATAAACACCGAATATATTGATGTAAGCATGAAACGATTTGTACAAAACAATAGTTGTGGCCATCAAGAAATAACATATACAGCATAACAAAACAAATGAAGAAATAAGAGCTGAACACAGTCAATAAATATAAATCAGAAAGAAAAAATATGGGACATAATGTGTCAAGACGGAAGTGAGGGAGAGAAAAAAGGCACAGATTTCTCCGCTGATGCCAGTAAAACGACAGAAAACTCAATAGCTGCCCAACATACTTGAACAGATTGATGAAAATGATAGATTTCCGGAATAACCACCAACAAAGGATCGGAATCCAGGAGAATGGTACTGATTATGGTCTTCTATAGATATTGACCGGGTTTTGCCACTTGCAGGACCGTTCCTGTGACGAAAAATAATGAAAGCAATTAAATGCGATTCACTTGTGGCAGCATCTGGTATGGTATAACGCTAAGCTGGATGTTGTTCTGCATGTGTCACCAATTTTGCTAGTACGCTACCTAGCTTATAACGATCTAAATCCAATTCCGATATTGACAATGGAAGAGATGTATCACCTATGAACAACCAGGGATGATGCCATATATATTCCAAATCACAACGTTAGTCCGCACCATACTTTAAACATTCCCCAATCAGATTTTTGCAACCTAATATTGAGCTCCTTGACATAATTCACCTCTTATTCGATCACATTATTATCAAAAAAGGTTCTCCAGAATGTATTAAAAAGGAAACGAAACATTTTGAAATATGCGTCACCAAACTAACGGTCCACGACAAACAATGTCTTCATTATAATAGAATGGAATGTCCCCGTAAATGATACAATAAAATCCCTAATGACCATACAGTTATCTTGCAACCATCATACTCGGAATGCTTAGGTCCTCACGGTTACACTTAGGCTTAGGCTTAGATCTTTGGTCACAAATTAAGCTAAGATGTTCACGTTAGAATTAGAATTATGCTTAGGTCCTCACGGTCACACTTAGGCATAATTCTAAGCGCAACTGTGAACATCTAAGCCTAAGCCTAAATGTAACCGTGAGAACCTAATCATCCCGAGTATGATGGTTGCAAGATAACTGTGTGGTCATTAGGGATTTTATTGTATCATATGGTTTACGGGGACATTCCATTCTATTATAATGAAGACATTGTTTGTCGTGGACCGTTAGTTTGGCGATGGCATATTTCAAAATGTCACACTCAGGCTTAGGCACAGATCTTCACGGTCACAATTAAACTTATGCTTAAGTCCTAAGCATAATTCTAAGTGTAACCGTAAACATCTAAGCCTAATTTTAAGTGTGACTGTGAAGGCCCATGTAACCGTGAAGGACAATTCTAATTCTAACTGTGAACATCTTAGCTTAATTTAAGCGTGACCCTGAAGATTATTCATGAATACCACCTGTATCTTCAAGAAAGAAAGTCAAAAAAATGTAAAAGCTATTCTTAATGATAAGCTTAAATCCTAAAATTCATTTGCGAAACTCTTCATATCAACCGTAAACTTGTCAGTTGCAAATCACTTACCAACCAATCCAGTTTTTTTGCATACGTCATTCTCCTATTAACAAATGAATGCAAATTAGGCCAATCCGATGGAAACATTCCTTGATGAGCGCGCTTTACCACATACATGCACGCACACAATTACATACGCACTAAGATATACGCAGACATTCATAAGTAGCAGTAGATACCCTGTCTGACTGTCTGATAACGAATACAGTGCTTGAGCAGCAATTGTCAAGCGCTAATTTACGAGCTTTTTCCATTATTTTAATTGAACGTGCGCAGTTATTAAGTGTCGAATATGTTAATTTGCAAATATGCTACACTCGCAGAAAATGAGAATATAAATTATTAATCTGAAAATGTGAGCATACATATGTTTTATTCAATTAAATAGCATGAAAGACGTGTCGCTAGTCTTACAGAAAAGAAGCTGTGTGCAAATAGAAAAAAATTAAGAACATGGAAAGTAACACTACACCTGTCCCTAATATATCAAATTAACCTCCTTATAGCAGCAAATAACTTTGTAATTTGTAATTCTATTAGTGAAGAGCAAATAAATTTATAATTCTATTAGTGAAGAAGTATATCTTCCCTGGCATAAAAATATCTGCACAGTGGGGAAACATCTCAGTCAAATTACAAAGAAAAAAAAAGAAAACTATAGAAGGAATACAAAAGAACGATCACGGGACTGCTACTGCCCCAACTGCCATTATCGTCCCGTGTGAAAACGTAACAAAGCTTGCTGCCCTCCCTCTGCAATCAGTTTATTTCCACAGGAGGCGAGCGGATGGAAAGTGGCCAGGGAGGGATTGGTTATAGTATCTTTTTATCATATATGTTTAAAATTCTGCTAAGTTTTCAGAATTTTGCAGTATTTTTGCAGTCCATTTTTGTTGGCGGAGAATTTGCCACAGTATTCGCACCGAGGATGAGGTTCATGTGTTTGGTCAATGATCGAATATCCGCCCACAGCAGGGCGTTCTGTATTCGTAAGGAAAGGAATGATGCGTTTTCTTATATGACATATTCGTTGTAAATTTTCATGACCATAGTACATCAGGGATAAAGACGTTCATAATTTTTCTCGTCTAAAAATTTCCTGTAAAACAATTGTTTTTGCAGCTGGTATTTTATTATTTTATTGGTAGTTCATTAAGCAATTAAATTTTAGTATTTTATTGGTAGTTCATTAAGCAATTAAAAAAATGATTTACATATTGACCAAATAACCTTAAATTTAAGGACTTAAAAGGAATGAAAATTTATAAACAAAGCCTTTTTATAGGTTGGGAATGCTGTTTCAAAAAACTTTTTTTTGAGCATTTGATAAAAATTGTCTGAAATTTTTGACCTCCAGATTGGTTGACATAAATAAAAATAAAGTAGAACTGCATATAGAAAAAAATGAAAAATAGAGCAAGCAATTAATTTAGTCTATTAATTTAATAAGTGAGGTTAAAAAAAAAAGGCATGAAATATGGAAAAGCATAAAAAATTCTCTACAAACTTAATGCAAATTGCTGTGAAAAAACACAAATTAAATAAAATTAGCAAAAAAAAAAGTAAAAGTAACTAAAGATGCGCACAAAAAAATTAGCAAAAAAGGTTTCAACTAATTTAAAATATTGTCCAATAATAAGATAATCAAAAAGAACATCAGTTAGTAAAGATTAAAAAAAGCGTACAGCAGCAAATGCAAATTAGTATTGTTGATATGACCAAACATATACTTGGTAGAAATAACCGGTAGAAATACAATAAGATTAAAACAAAAACAAGATTAACCAAAAAAATTAGCAAAAGATAAGTGAGAAATTATGATTAAGATAATAGAAAAAAAAGTTGTCAATCTATGAAAGCATTGCTTTTCTAAACCAATTTTATCTGCAATTTGATTTTGACAATTAAAACTAGTTTTATCCATTAATTAATGCATTGAAAACTATTTAAATCTCATAGTAAGATCACTTGCTATTATTTATACAATGAAATTAATTTGAACAGGATTTCTTCAAGTGTCAATAAAGCAAAATGAAATTTTAATAATGCACAAATTAGTCTTGAACTTATTTGACACTTTTTTTTCAGAATTACACCTTAATCAGATCTGATATTTGAAAACTAAAACAAAAAAATCTATAAAAACTTTACACACACAAGTAAAATAATGAAATATAAAAATATGTGGTATCAATATTATTTCTAATTTTGACATTATAATTATTATTAGTCATTATTTAACAAAACGAATTTTTTTTTTTTAAATCACACAATCAGCAACTCTTTTTTTCTTGACGATGAAATTGATTAGGATAAACAAAGGTATTGTAAGAAAACTTCCCATAGAACTGCTAGGTTTGCAATCAAAGCAAGGCTTTGAATTTAAAAAAAAAAAGCAAGGTCAACCCAACTTGGTAGAAAACGTACAAGCTTTTATCAATGTCTGTGAATTAGTAGGCAGTAAATTGGATATATATATATATATATTCCACAACAATCCGATGATCAAACTCGTGCTGAAGTGTCCATTACAATTTCCGAAACTTTTTGACATAACATATAGCAGCTATGTGAGTCATACCGAAAACCATTTCCTTGTTATAACTATTTGTAATTGATTAAGATCACTGGTAGCAATCCCAACAGGCTTAAATAATCAATGAAGCATGTACAAATCCTTACAGCAAGAATTATCCATTAATCCTAATCTGCACATTCAGTATTCGTTTTGCTGCAGGATATCAGATTAGCCATCAATTAATGTGTTTTTAACCAGCACTAAAGTCACGTAGAGCTGTTTAACACCAGCTGATTACACAATTTTGTATTACTTATTTATGCAGTTGCATTTAATAAAGTGCACAAAATTATGCATCTATTTTAACCATTGAACATAAAGTCCTATTTTGCTAATTACTTTCAAATAGATGTACGGTGAGTAGCTTAAATCCTTTAAATATTATCGCTAAAATATGGTATTATGAATAGTGTCTACCTACCTTTTGAAATTACTACTAAACAAGATGCATAGTTTAGGATATAACATATAACTTGCTTTCCATTTCAATAACTGTAACATGCACGTGACTGCAAAAAGGACACAAAATATTTCATATTAATGGCATAAACAAATCGAAATTCAAATATATTATGAATATGGAAAAAAGTGTTTCGAAACACTGTGTCCTAATAAAATTCTATTTTACAGACAAACGATTTAAGCAAGGAAAAATTTGAAAAGCAAAATACATCGCAGAGTCAGCAAAGGAATAAAGATACACATTTTACCGGTAAATGAATCAGGAATTTCATCGATAATTGATATTTCAGTTATCGAACGGTCAGATTGGCCGCCACGAAGTGGCAGTGAAAATTTTCAAGAAAACAGTCGCAATTACAAATGGTAATTGGTATATAGAGCATATCAAAAAATACAATAAATTCTGTACTCAAGACTGAATCTAAGTTTTATGCTATGTCGGATTTATGTCCAACACTGAATCTCTTTATGCCATATTGGGAAATAACTTATTAAACAACCATAAAAGAAAGTGTCACCTAAGGAAATGAAACGGACCGATAAAAAAACTAATCGGTAATTTTCCGGTCCTTCAAGATGAAAGGACGGAGGCGAAAGAAAAGAGAATAGAAATAATTTGTGAATCGATCAAATACTGAAAGCATTACGAATAGATTTGAAAAAGTTCTATCACTTTACACTTTCAAAGTCTTTAAAATAAAGAAGAATGACGCATAAAAAAAAAGAGAAAAAAACAGTGCACAAAGAAAATTTCCATGCTAAAACCCAAAGCTAAAAGTCCAAAACAGTAGTTGGAACACAAAATGTAATATAAAATTCACTTAATCGGACAAATGAATTCGAGAAACAAAAAGGAAAGCATAATCTCCTACTACGTGAAATACATCCGACGGTAATCATTGGCACCAAAAGCAGCATTACATTTCGGACATTTACGTCTTCTCGTCTCATAACGTGTCTTCATACATTCCATGCAGAACACATGGAAACATTTCGTTAGTACGGCATCTTTCCTCCGCACTTTACACGATGGACAAGTCAAAATATCCTGTAAAAGAGTAATTTTGTCCAGAATATTTACAGAAATGATTAAAAAACAGCTTCGAAGGTTTATGTTCAATTACGACCTAAAAGGTAGAAATGATCGTATACATCAAATATAATATAGTATCAAAATAAATCAAACCTTAAGCTCCCTAATTTCTTCATTTAGTACTTCATCCCAATTTTCCATTTTTTCCATCTTCTTTGTCCGTTCTAATTTCTTTCGTAGAATACTTTTCTCTTCCTCCAAACGTTTTATTTTAAACGAATCTACTTCCTGCTGTGAGGTTTTCGTTGTTACAGCCTAGAATACCCATTAGTTTTTTTCCATCACAGAAATCATATTTTTCCTACGATAGCTGAGAACATGAACAAACCTGCTGTGCATCATTAAGCTGACTGTTACACTTCTCCAACTGAGCTTTGTAATCAGCTGATGTCTGCGAACATTCAATTGCTTTTCTTTTATGCATATCATTTGCCTGCTCGATTAATCTAAAATAGAAACTGAATCAACACTTAAAAGTAAACAAACTAAAACTAAATTTTTATGTTGAAGTTCTCCACAGAAACAAACCACTAAAATGTATTTCCATTCATTTGCATCCTGGAACATCTAACTAATAAAAACAACTCCAATTGCAAACTCTTATAAAGGTGAATTTTCCACGATATTTTTAGACCTTCTCTTTTCGAAAGTTTTATGACTCAATTAATGAAAACTTGATGCATTTCTGAAAGTAAGGTAAGCTTAAAGTGGATAAGTTTGTCCAACCTTAACTGATGCTCTAAATGAGAATTTTTCTGTCTCAGAAGCTTTTCTGTTTCTTCCAATTTCGATATCATGAGCTGCTGAGCTTCGATTTGATTCTGCAAACTACTAATGCGTTCTTCCGTGCGCTCTCTTTCTTCGCTCATCTTTTTCTGATATTGATTGGCCCGTATTCTCTCAGCCATCAGTTTTAAATTTGCATCATCCTACAAAAGAAAAAGATCCGAAGTGAAATTCATCAGTTTTCAAACAAAAAATTTTTTTTGGAAATACTGAGAATATAAACTAATAACAAAAGATTATTTAAGAACAAATATATTCAGTACTTAACATTTTAAAGCTATTATTATTTTTTTTTAATTATACATTACATTACAAAATTATACATTAATATTTAAGGACCAAAATTATACCTTTTCTCTGAGTTGCTGTAGTAATCTAGTATTTTGTTCTTGCATTTCTTCAAATGCTTGACCCGTAGTTTCAACATCGTTCATAAGACCTTCTTCTTCTTGCCTTGCCGAATGTGCTTCTTTGCGGAGGCGATCCGCTGTTTCTTCGAGGCTTCTGTAAAGAACAAAAAATATTTTAGATCCACTTGTTTAAAAAATAAGTATAAATTGAAAGAACTACGAGCACGGCCATTATATTATCTGTTATATTACATCAACATTATGAAGGAAATTTCAATTCATTAAGTGCAATTAAAAATAAGAAAACCTAGCCTGATTTTTCTTTGTGCTTCGTCCGAATAGTATTTCATTTTCTCTCTATGATCGGCACCAGCAAGTTTTTTAATATGAAGCTGTAGTTTATCATTTTCAAGTTTCAGCCTTCTTTCTCGTACCAACAGCTGAAACATAAGAACTTCTCTATAATTTGTAACATTCAGATATCAAAAATCCATCAAAATCAATTCTTAAGAATGAAAAGTATATGGAATGCATACGACTGAAGTATAATCACCATGTATCAGAAAGCAAAAAATTGATAATTATTTGAAAGACTACACGATTAGTTGTACTAGACATGAATCATAAATCCATTTGTTCGTTCTTTCCTTTAACTCAAAAAGAAAAAAATATTTACCTCAGCTCGTTCTCTTTGTTCAGCTGTCAACGCATTTAAAGCATCTATTTTCAACTGCAAATCGGCAACTTTTTTCTTCAACTTTCTGAAACTGACTCTATTATTATAGAAATTGCGAAAGGTCTTCAAGATATCGGTAATGTGCCTAGAAACTGATAAAAGACACAAATTTATTTACCCGTGATTAATCAGTTACTTAATTTCAACATTATATGCATTACATAAAAAATGAATTAAACTAACTGTATGACTCTATTCGGATGTGTTCCAATATCAGTATCACCATCAATTTCACTGTTGTATTCACAGCTTTCACCATCGTGTAATAATGATTCCGAGGGCTCCGCAATATTTCTATCCTGATCCGGCGATGCCAGTGCATCGTTATCATCTTCTATTTCAATCAGTAAACATCTTTCACGATAACGCCTTTCACTTTCTAACTCCTTGTTGCACTGGAAAAGAAATGATAAAATAAGGAATGATTTTTTTTAGGAAAGATGAAATGATAAAATTTTTTAACTCCAAAACAATTCATTTCCTTTAAACTAGGAACTCACTTTAGCTAATGAAGAAACAGCCTCCTTCCACTTCCTCTTGAAACGATTTGCTTCCTGTTTAAGTTGTTGATTTTCAGCTTTTGCTGATGCAAGCATCAAACGAATTTCCTTATTTAACGGTCCTGAAATATGGTTCATTCTGGTCGATGCTCAGGGATGACTCTTAAGATATCTGAAACTTGTTTAAAAAACGATACCTGACTGCTCATTGGCAGAAAGGTTCTGTTCGAATTCCAAACGTAACATTTCATACTCTCTTCGTACTTGATACAATTCTTCTTCATGCCTATTCATTGTATCTTGCATCTGTTCACGGGCTTGGCATTCCTCACTCTACAAGTAGAAAGTGAATAATTTCTCGCAAATTCTATTTAATCATTTCTAATTGCTGGAACTACAATAGTGAAAAATTCTATTGACACCTTTTTTTTACATATAGGAGATTTCCTACGCTCTAAACTTGACAAACCTCCATAACTTCGATTTGTTTAGAATGAGCGCTGCGTAAAGCTGCTAACTGCGACTTTGCCGTTTCTATTTGTTGCCTTAAAATATACAATTTAAGTTAACTTAAACTTTTTTTGCATTAATTTACTTAAATTTTGTTTCCACTGTGCATTTCATCCATCATAAAATGGTTTAGAAACGTAATATCGCAATGTCCCAGTTCCACTACATGGATAAGCTCACAAACAACCTTTGGGCATACTATGGGCTGCGATGCATGTTCGTCCTAAATAAAAAGTCGATCATGAAATTCAAATATGGAATTTTAACAAGATCGGAAATTTGAATTATGTTAACGGTAACTTGCCTCATCTGATTCGCTTCTGTAAAAAGAGAAGAAAATTGCGATTGCAGAGTGGTGTATTCAATAGATGTCCTAATGACTTCTGTTGGAATGTTTTTTAACTGAAAAAAAAAAAAGTTTTTTTCAAGTCAGCACTCAATTCTGAATTTCACGAACAAAACCCAGGTAAGAGTCATTATAAAACTTACATTCATCTTTAAATTTTCGACTTGTTTCGTCAGATTCTTATTTTTATCCAACATTTCTTGCAATTCTTGAAGGCGAGAAGCAGCCAAGTCGGTCTGGATTTCTAGGTTTTGCTCAAGTTCTTCCAGCTGGAATCGGAAAATGGATTGAATCTCTAATAAAAACGTCCAAAATGAGAAGATAAAATGAGTAAAGCTGCTGCAATAGAATACAGTAATAAGTTAGTAACAATACTCCCACAGAATTTCAGCTTGTAACAATAAAAATGTAAATTTTTGTTAGTGCTTTTGAAAAAGTATAAGCTTAGCTGCTAAAAGAAATCTAATTGAAACTTTTTAATTCAAATACCTCTTCGATACTTTATTCCAAAAATTTGTCTACACTCACTACTTTGAAATCAGATTGCAATTCACAGTAACATAACTTACTTTTGATTTATTCACACTGGCTGTTGGAGGTGAATCTGCTTTCGTATTATTTGTATTATTTGGGCCATTCACAACTGACGCTTTCATTAAATTCATTTCCAGATCACGCGTTTTTTTCACATACTGCAAATTATTTCACTTCAGTAGAAAGCCTTAGATTTAAATCATATACATTGTCTTAACAATATTAAAAATATTCAGAAAACCTGAACTACGGGAGACTTGAATCACAGAAAGACCAATCTTGAAATAGGAAATTCCATAACTCCAAAACTTTGAAAAAAATTCGCAATCTCAAAAATGGCGATTGGTACAGAATAGAAGTAAACCTCAGCAAGACGAAAATCAAGTTTGCACTCGCGACGCATAGCTTTTTCTAACTCATATTTCATTTCCTCCAGACTGTTATCCATCTCTTGCTTGCGAGTATCTATTATCGTTAACTTATCTTCTTGAGCTGATACCTGAAATTAACTGAAGATTTTTATCCAAAGCGTGAGTAGATCTTTCACGAGTTTCTAAGGAATAATACAAAATCCATTAAAAATGAAAAACATACCTTGGATGAAAGACTGTGGTTTTCCGATTGAAGTTTCGTAATCATTTTTTGCAACTTTATGTTTTCTTCACTTAGCTCTGCATTCCTTTTTACCAGCATTGCATTTACAGTTGGTCTTCCATCAGACGTAGAGGCACCTGTGCGAAAAGGAAAGTCAAGAGTGAAACACATCTAAGCGAGTAATAACAAATTTGTTGCTAATACAAATTTATTCCTTGTTTCTCATTTTGAAAGCATGTGCTTCCTTTTAATTCAACAGAACAGCTATTCTTCATATAATTCTTCATTATTTAATTAAAAAAATAAGACTAGCAAGGAAAACTAGCAGAAAGCCCAAATTTCTCGCAAAAACAGTCAATAAGTGGAAAAGCACCATCATCAGGACTCTCGTCTGCTGTTGAGCAAGAAGCTATCATTTCTGCAATTTTCCCATTTCTTTGTGTAATATGATCAAAGACTTGAATTAGTTTCGATATCGCTCGACGACTGAAACATCAACATGCCTTGTATCAATAAATATGTACTTTGAAATCAATTTGAAAATCTTCAATCGAATTGTCAGAAGTGATTCCATTGCTACAATAGTATATATATATATATATAGACTATTGCATAACAAAGTCAAAAAAATCAGAACAGAACTGGATTATGATGACTAGTAATCTCATAGTGAGAAAAAATTAGTTGGTAACCCAAACAATGATAATACGTTCATTACTGACCTGAATTCTACCCGTTGCTTTAATTTTTCTTCAGTCTCTCCATCGTCCCAGTGAGCCAGTTTTGCAAGAAAACTCTTAGTCTCTTCACATTCCACTGAAACATTTAATTTTCTACTTAAGAATTGCACAAAAAATTTTAATATCAATTCTCAATGTTGGATAATACAGAGTAACTGAATAAACATCAGAGAAATGTGATTCATCCTATTATTATTCGCTCAATTTCAGAAAGATAATCAATACAACAAATACCAATAGATCTAGAATTTTCAATTCAAATGTAAATGAGTTTAAAATCGAATCGTATTCTAAAAAAGCTAGTGATGCAATTATATGTATTTCATATCACAAGCCAAACTATATATATTTCGACCTTATTTCTTCAACCTAGCGTTCTCCTAATTATCAAACATTAAATTTCTTTATAAATCTTATGATTAGAAAGGAGTGAAAATCAGTTGCATACTTACTTTTGATCTCACCTTCCACCGCTGTTTCGGCGTCAAACCTCTGCAGCAACGTCCTGACATTTTCATCAAACTGAAAATCACTCATTTTTAACTATATCTTTACTTTATAAAAAATGTAATTGAGAGCATTTTATGACCAGGATGCAAATCAGCTAGTTTCACCGTGCATCTTACAATAACTGACGTTCTTCAAATGCAATAGTATGTGACGCTATCTTTTGTGGCTACACAGCTGATGTACATTGGAAGTCGCTATGAATTCGGTAACTGCAGCTTACTAGATTCCAAAAACGATTAATGGTACACATCATCGCATCATCTTGAGCTTGTCTGCTTTCCAGTTGTTCAACGCGATGTTGCAATTGGGTCGTTTGACGTTCCTTTAGGCGAAAACGTTCAGATAACTTGTAATGTTGAACCGCTAAAACTTTCGCATCGATATCGCTCTAAAAAAAGTGATATGACCACAAATTCGAATACGTTTATAAAAAGAGATAGTTAAGACGGTTAAAAGATAACAGGATAGAATGCTCTATTATACTTATTGCAATCAAATCTGTTAATTTCGGAAAAAGTGATAAAGAAAAAGTATTAGATACAATACTATGTGAAAGTTCCAAAGTTTAGCTGTATATTTAGATCTATGATATACAGTTCTTAAATTATCACAGTTCAGGTGGAGAAATGGAGAAATATTTCCAGATTGAAAGCAAGTAGTACTTTACAAAAGTTGCTCTTCTTATAATTCGAGGCAAAATTCGAGATAAAATGAAGTGAAAATTTACCGTCCCACTGACTGAACAGATGCGAACAGGTTCGAATTCAACTAATCTTCGCTTACTATAAAGTGGTTCATCCGCCGACGCACCAGGAGAGTCGTCATCACTCCCCGGTGATGAACGTTTTGACATTTCCACGAAGTGTCTGGAAAAAGAAGTTGGAGAATAAGAACCATATTATTTAACGCTGAAGCATGAATTTATCCAAAAACTCCGCGTATTTAATTTTGAAGATTTCTAGATAATAGTCGACATGAACGAAAACGCTAATTAGCATCTACCATGAATAAGTCTTTCGAATAGAATCCAAAACGCTTTAACTGAAGAGCTGGACAGAAAAGTTCTCACGAAAGTTGCATGCGAAATTTCACGACCTAGCAAAACATAACGATTTACTATTCCAGATAATGAAGAATGCATATACTCTTCATCCTACTTCTTTCGTCTTGAAAACCTACCACTTTCCTCAGTACTACTAACTAAGCTAGCAATATTTTAATACAGCCACAAATAATTTTAGAAATATCAGAATTTAAGGGTAAATTGAATCATTTCCCAAAGTTTTTCAGCAAATTATATAGCTATCTGCTAATATTACCAGGACAAATGTAATTCATGCTTTCGGCACAGAAGAGATTTCCGTTTGAAAAACTTCCTGCTTTTTCTTTCTTTTTCTTCAAAATCAAGAAATATCTCATATTCGGTTGCCAACATGTCTTTCTAGATATAGGAACATAAAATCCCTCTTCCTGAATCACTAGCAACTACCTCTCTTTAACTTCATAAACTGCTTTTTCATTCGGTCTGAAATACTTAACTTCTTGAAACCGCACGCACATCTCTAATTTTTTTGATCGACAATTCGAAAGCTGAAAATACTAGCAACGAAGTTCCAATTTGCTGACATCACGTTACCGGCAGCTTTATTTCATCATGTGAATTGTTTTGCTTAGCTTCTTCACACAGTTTTACCGAGTTCCATAATAAGCATGAACTGCAGACAAATTCTGCATGGTCGAAACATCAAATTCAGATTCGTTCATAATAAATTCATGTTAGAATATTTAACAAAATTTACTCACTAAAATGAAGTCCAATTTGTCGTGATGATGCTGCCAGGTTGTCTTTTAAATGATGATATCCTCAGAAATAAATCCCCCAGAGCTGTAATGACCGAGTGAACCGCTATGGTAAAGTCCCTTATTAAAGAACAAACTGCTAAGAATCCCTGAAAAAAAAACAATAAATTTAACAAGTTCTTTAAACAGCCCTTTTTTTCTTTTTTTGGAGGCGGGGAAGAGGGAAACTCACACACCATAATTTCTGACGATCAAATACGATGTTTCAACAGTTAGTTAATTCTAGAGACCTGCGCAGGACTCGAAATGCAGGAGACTAGAAGACTAACTGGAGAGAAACCTCAAGTCCTTCGAATAAATTATTCGTCTGCCGCCTCCCTCTTTCTCTTCTGATTTTTTCCAGCTGTAACTTCTATTTTTTCAAAAATCGTTGGTTCACAGGTTGTATAACATCCACAACATAGCATCTAAAATCCATTCTACAAAAGCGATTACAAGCAGGTTTTTTTTTTTTTCCACGGCCAATAGCCAGACGAGTAAGCTCGAAAATTTAACCCTCCTTCACTTAAGGCATCCATTATGTTAACATCAAACATCTGGTCTTCCTGTATCCTGTCAAGAACTGAATTTTGCATCTCTGCTGCATAATCTACAAAAATGATTCCGGTCAACTATACGACAAAAAGATATCGTTGATGCATAACAAGCCCTTTTATCATCAAGTAGTTCCATCGTTGGCATTTCTGTTTCCAAAACATTTCCATAATGGCACTTTCGTTGCAATGTTTGATAATATAAACTAGACATGATGGATTGTGACTTAACAATAACTTCACATCTTTCATTTGCAATTTCCTTTTTATCGATTTCCAACGATGCTTTCTGATCAGGATACATTCGTGTAACTCAACTCGAATCATCTGATAGTGATGCATCATTTGATTGTTACCACAGCAATTCTTCAGGATCATCATTTCGGGCCAGTCAAAATCTTACACTCTTTGCTCAGTCTTAATTTTACCCTCAATCAATAGTATCCTTCATTCCATCTGATCAAAAAATCTTCCATCTACCATAAATGCTTTTCTACATTTTTCCATCTCTCTTCAATCATTTTTCACTGAATAATTCTTCTCCTACTCGTGTTAGATCATTCAAAAAATCGCTTTCCCAATTTTCATCAATAAAAAAAAAAACACAAAAAAATCTTTCAATGATTATTCTCAAAACATTCGTCATCTATAAAAAATCAAAAATTATCCAAAAACATACACCAAAAGATTAAAAAAGAAAACAGAAACATCCAATAAAAGAATAATTGATAAAGACAAAAAAAAAAAGCTTACAGCGAAATGCACAAAGCCCTCACAATCAACCACTGATTGCAAAATACCATGTATCAGGCATTCCCTTCCAGAAACAACCATCTGTCACAGCTCAAAATTCTCTCACAATCAATATCATTCAGCATTGTTTTCGTGTTTTTCTTTTTTTTTTTTTTGTGTGTTTGTGTGTTACATCTTGCTAGAAGTTAACAGTTCAGTGTTATTCTTCTTAATATAACTCAAAGTTAATTTTACAGTTCAATGTCTGTTTAACTTTGTCAACTTTGTCGTCACATGATAATCTGTTTGAATAGCTTAGAACTATAAGTTTTTGACCAAAGTATGGCCTTTTTAAACGTTTTAAAATGTTGCATTGAAATCGCATGTACAAAAATGATATGTGATCATTAACCTTTGTTATTTTATTTTGTTTACTTTGTATTACAAGATCTCTTCTTTTCTTTGTCCTGTCTTAACGTTTTGTTTAAACGATCTAAAATTTCAGAATTCTGTGATGGTGATTTCTGATGTTTCTCTTAGCTTTGAGATTTCTTATCCTAGCAGTATTGCCTTACATGATATGATTTTTTGGTTAGGTATATCGTTTAAAAAAAAAATTTCCGTTAGTAATTTCTCTATTCAGTTATATTAAATTAATTATGAGAATAGATGCTTGTTTCAGATGCCTATTATACCGGAAGAAAGGAGAATATTGTTAGAGAAATTGAATTTGAAAACGTCGACAAGTGATATTGAACGATTTTTCACAAGATGGGGTCCACTTTCTGAATGCATTGTCATGTTTGATAAGGTATGTTATGTATTTAATAAGGTTTTACATGCATTCAGTTGACAACAAAGTTGCTCATGCAGCTACCGTCCTTTTTTTCAATTTCCATTTTCACTCATTATCCATTTGCATCGGTTAATTGCTGATCAACTGTTCATTGATGGATTAGACAAGTTTTTTTTTTTATTTATTCCTTGTATTGCTTACAAAACTCACTTTAATTTGAGAATACGAGGCGTTCTCGAGGATACGGATTTATTTGTTTTGTTTGGGATCATCATTGTGAAGAGTGCCTCGAAGCGCAGCCACATTCAATAGATGGTGTACAAATTGAAATGCGACCAATCAAAGCCGTTAGTCAATTCATTTAGTTTGGTGTCTTTCATTTCTAATTTATCATTAAAGCTGATGCCGTTCTTTTGTTTCCATACATATTCTTATATTTGTTATTTCATTGGATAAGCGATTTTAGGTATCTTCAAATCCGATTGTCAAGTATGTCAATTCACGAAAAATCCTAGTTTCCTACCTTAGTGCACGTCTTACAATTGATGAACTCGAGGAATATTTTTCAAAATTTGGTATAGCCCGTATTGATTGTGCAGTGGATACACTAAATGAGGTTCATTTTGTTTAATTTTAGTGGAAGATTGCTAGGCAGTACATTTCAGAACTTCAATTATGATTGTTATATTTAAGATGGGAGTTGAAAGATTGTGGGCATAGCGACCTCAAAGGCACTCTAGAAGAGCCAACAAGAAGGAAGTTGTAAAACAATTTCAAAGATATACCGGATTATTGAGCTGCTGGATCATTTCAGAAGTCATTGTATTTTGCGTATGTTACATTTAACGAAGTTGAATCGTGTGATAGTTGTATAAATATTGGAGAACATTGCATTGGTGGTTACCATATTTTCGTTCGAAAAGTGATTCGACGAGAAGATCTCAAAAAAGCGGAACAAATGGAACGTGTTAGAGCTGTTTGTGAAGCTCGAATTCAAGAAGAGCTGCAAGAAGAAGCAGGAAGAAGACGACGTAATTTGGATAAAAAATTGCGTGCAAATTATTCTACGGAACTAGCCTTGTTGCGACCACCTCCGCCACCACCACCTGTTGCTGCACCGTTACGAGAAACTGCTGAACAGCCTCCGCCATCGACCTCCAGTTGGGTGCCTCTTTTACCTAATGAACAATTCCAGGAAGATGGTGCTTCCCAGCTTGCTGGTTATGGGCCACAACGTCAGAAGCAGAAACAGTGTAGTACTTTTGCAGGTAGTGTCATTCATTATTTCAATTTCAGAAGACCGTTTTTTCAGCTTATATCTTAAGCTGATGAATCGCTTTTGAGGAAAGAGAAAAGTGGTAAGAGAGAAGGGATTGGTTAGTGAATATGAAATTGCTATGCTAATAAATTAGTCAATGCAGAATGAATTAGGAAGACAATAAAAATTTAAGATTAGTTCTTGCTTTCGTTTGGAGTTCTAAATCAATAGATTGTTCAGGTCCACATCTTTCGGGAAATCCTGTAGGAACCGGAATATCACAGTGGATTCCACTGCCGCATGGGAATATATCGTCGTCCTCCGACATTGTTCGACGATATTCTACGCCAAGCGAACCGTTTAATAATCGGTCCTGACACTTGGTGTGATAAATGTAGTAATAATGGAAATTCCTTGTTTTGATCAGTGTTTGTATTGAAGTATCTCTTTTTTCCACTGACTGAATTTCTTTTTTTTTTTTGTTGGATGTTTTAGCTGTCGCTTTGGTTGTAAAGTTTTTTTGTTATAGTTTTCAATTTCTAATCCTACCATATTTTTGTGAAAGAGTTGCACATTTCATATTCATAAACCCATGACATTACTGCATTTTTATTTTAGCAGGAAAACAAAATTTAATCATTCTTTCACTTATCAGAATGTTGCTCCGAAAAGATATGTACTCAATAGTGTTTGGAAAATTTATCCTCAATTCGCATAAAGTTTTCCATCGACTTTCGTTCGTTTTAAATTTTTAAAACCAAATTTAGGAGTGTGTACAGTTAATAAACTGCGCCTAACTCAGTGTTTGGCTTTCTTCACTTTGAAACTTCGCAAACCGTGATATAGCTATATTTCAGGTTTAGAAACTTCCAAACAGCTCGTGGTGGTAAATTGTTTGGAATTGTTCTTTTATTTTGCAGGTGTATGAAATGGATTTTGCAAAAACTGCTACAGCTCCATTGTTAACATCGCCGGAGCTCGATGTAAGGGAGGCTTTCGCAAAGGTATGTATTTATTTCGTCTTTCGATACTGATCAGTATTAGACTTACTGGTTTCCAAGTAGATCTAATATTTTCAAATTCCATTTTCTAAATGACATGCAATTATAAATGATCATTTATGCAAAACCAAAGCATATACATCATTATGAATGAAAATTTAAGGTTTTAAGATGAGTGGAACGCTCACATATTGGTTTTTCATTCTTTTGAATCTTCATTCTAGTAATGCCTCGATGTGCCAAGTTTTCAGGTCATCCACATATGGAAAGAACGTTGTCATACAGTAAATAGGCGTTTATTAGGCGTTGTGTCAGTAGATGAACAGAATTCTAGGCACGATAATATGTTAACATTACCTCATGTATTTTCGAAAAATGTTGAAATTCGAAAATTCATTCCTAGATCACCCGATGTTTTTTCGACCTGCGCATATGAAGCTTCTTTTTGGTTAGGCCCACTCCTTTTATTATAAAATATGTCTTAATTGAGGATGGATTCATTCTAAGTGAAATTTATTATTGTTGAAATGAATTAGTGGAATTTCGAGATTCAAATTGAAAATTTGTTTTTAAAGAGCCCGAGATCACCATAGGATTTTGCTTTCAGTTTTACAGTTGGCGTAATATTTTCGGCATTGGCAAAGATCTGAGCATCTTTTGTTAGAAAAGCTGTATGCAGTGTATCTCGAACCGGCTTAAATCAATTGTTAAATATATAGTTATGATTAGTAATTAAGATCGTACAGTTTAGATGAATATGTTGTGGAATTTCGGCCTTATGTATTGGACGAGAAGCGACATCCTCATATTTCTTTTCCATACCGTATTGCTTTGGAAGAAATCTCAGATCAGCAATGGTACGTTGCTTGAATGATTTTGTATCATTTCTGTTTAATTTATACAGCTATAACAATGAGTGTTTTTGTTTAATCAGTAATGCTTTCAGTAATACTAGTAACGCTTTGTTTTCTTTTTCAGGAATCTAAGCCTTTTCATCTGTAACAATGCGACTAATTATAATTGGTTGCAGAAAGTCGCATTTCCGCGTTTATTGAAGTGAGTTTCTGTGATTTCTTGTGATTTACTTCTAAAAATTTTAATGTTCCGTATTTCCAGATGGTTTTCTGAAATTGATGAACGGAAGGATATCACAATTTCGCACAGATTAATTAATATGGAACTTTATTCCCAGGTCTATTGTGAAATCAAAAATAAGTGGGGCCAGCAAATTGCAGCAGTAAGTCTTTCTGCTGTTCTAATAGTTGAAATTTTGTACTTACTATCATCGATTTTGTGTAATATAGTCGTACTCATCCAAATTTGAATTAGTTTGTTTTTTTCAAAATTCCACATTTATTGAACTTTTTTTTTTTTTGGTTTTTTAGACCTGGACTGAAAGGACGAATCCACAGAAATTTGTTTATGAAGACTGCGCTATTGCAGCTTATCTAATTGTAAGGAGAAATTTCTTTGTTAAAGCATTTATAGACTCATTTTTTAAACTAACTACTGGGAAAGTGAATTTTAGGTCTACTGGCGACAAAAAGGCTTTTTACCACAAAAATTTTGTGATATTGGTTGTGGTAATGGCTTACTTGTATATCTCTTGCAAAAGATGAAGGTTTCTTATTATTTTTTCTTTTTTTTTTCAATTATTGAATTCTTTAGAAGAAAAAATTCATAAAAAGAATCTCCCACTACCATTTTTGATCACAGCTGCAAAAACCAATGTTTTGAGTCTCACTAAATGAAAAAGCTTATAGGTAAATGGTTATGGAATTGATTTAAGACAACGGAAAATATGGGCGAAATTTGTTGGAACTGACTTGAAAGAAAAAACACTGAATCCAAAAGAAGATTTGTTGAGTGATAGCGATTTTCTTATTGGGAATCACACAGATGAGCTGACACCTTGGATACCTATTATGGCTGCTAGGTTTCTTCTGAAAAACTTGAAATTTTTAATGAAGCTTATTTTTACAGTCAACCAGCAAAGATGAATCCTTGTATTCATTCATTTTTGGTCAGAAATCATACCAAAATGTTCACTTTTTCCATTTTATTTATTCCTAGTTATTGAAATCTCTTGATATCCTTGATTTTCAAAAATGAATGTTCGAAATTTCTTATAACTATCAATTTCAGATCCAGAAGTAACTTTTTCTTATTACCATGTTGTCCATTTGATTTTTTTAACCGTTTTCAAAAAAAGTGTGGTATGGCTGCTGCTAGTTTATATTCATCTTATCTTTTATTCATTCGCAGTATCTGCTTGAGGTAAATTTGACATTCAATAATGACAAACTTTTCTAGCAATTTTTCCCTCTTCGGTGAATTATTCTGAAAAACTCTGAGTCACTAAGGAAATGTTCAGGTTAGGCTACTGCGTTGAAGAAGATCGGCTAAAAATTCCATCAACGAAGCGCTATTGTTTCCTTTGCACAGTACCTGCTAGCGGTTTAGTAGAAAATCTGGAAAATGTTATAAGTAATATATTGACGCGTGCGAGTTTACCAAATTTCGTGCCAAGAGAGAAAATTGAAAGGGTAATTTGCGCTTTGATTTAATATAGAACTTTTCTGAGGTATCTATAAAGTTCACTTTTTTTGCTTTATGAAGTTACATGTGAAAGAGAATTATTACTTCCATTAAAATTTTAAAACTTGTAGATCACAGCTAGTACTTGACTAATTAAATACAATTTTCATACTGAATAGAGAGTGCTTCTATGCGTAACCACTGATTTCAGATAAGAAATTGTTCTAAACTTTCTCGGGATTTTCAACAGGCACTTACCACAAAAATATTCAAACGTTTCTTCGAACTGTCATCGGACAAAGCAACAGTGTACATATATATTTACGCTTTTAAATTTGAGAATTTTATATTATAGATTTTGAACTTTTTCAAAGTTTTAGAAATTGGTAAGTATGAGTTGTAGATCTTGACATTAGTCAATTACATTAAATCATGTGTTGCAGCTATTGGCATGAAAAACAGTCATGCTCCCTAAAAGAGATAGCTGATGTACTTAATGAGGAAGAAAAAGCGCAGCTTCGAAATTCAGACGGTGGTTTGCAGACATTTCTGAAAAATCAGCATCAGATTTTCAAAGTACGACACAAATGAGATCAGTTTCTGTTAAGTATAGAAATAAAAAAAAAAATAGCGCTGATATGATCCTTCCATCCCTGTAGCTTTACAGATGCAGTTGCAAAAATTGAATTCTGTAAATTATACTCTTGTCTTTTAATGAGCAGAATTCCGACTTCTTATTTTGAGTGATCAAGTTAATTTCAGATAGTTAAAGGCACTGTTTCAATACGTAATTGGGCTGAAGAAGGCAATCGAAGAGTGGAAGGAAAACTAAGGACAAGGGATTGTTGGTTTCATAAATATCATCCAAATGGTTGCCCATTATCAGCTGAAGATTGTTCTTACAAACATTGAATCTTTTACATACATCCGCAAATTGAATTGGATTGCAGATTTATTCAGCTCACAATTTGAATACAGTGAGATTTGACCAATTGTAGATAGTAAAATCTTTTCCTTTTCTGATCTAATCTTGTCAAAAATTGTTTGTATCAAAATGATATTAAAAAGTGGAAAGCCATTACAGCTGGTCAATTTTCTGTACAATCAGCAACAAATCGATATTAAAAGATATTAGTTACATTTGTTGATAGTAATCTTACATTGAATTGCAATGAAGCAAAATGTTTTCAGCTCATTTGTTAACGTATCAGGCAGGACTAAATTTTTGTATTTTATGAGGATTGAATTATCACTTATTTAATTGCTTCACCTTATGTCAATTGGTCAATGAACGACGATGCTGTGATGTTGCGATGTTGCTCAGTGAAGAATGTAACAGCTAAAATTTTGCTAGAAAAAAAATATGTTTACAGTGATGTAAAGAAAAAAAAAAAAAAAGAAAACAAAATCCATTACACATACAATGAACAGCTAGTTACATAATAATACATTAATACTATAAATCAATCAAAATAGAGGCATTTTTGGCAGCCGAGGAATTCACATCACTATTTGTGCTTATAACTAACGAAGAGGTAATTTATCTCTTTTTAAAAAAGTTAAAAAAAAAAAAAAAAAACATCCATGCTTGTAGTGTAAGACGCGAAAAATTTGCTAATTATTAAAAAAAAAAAAAAAAAAGAATACAGTTAAATATGCTCTATTCAAAATATTTCAGAAACAATAATTTCTCGTATTTAACTTTCTTTTAGAAAAACTCAAACAGTACATGTTAAGCATAATTCTTTAAACTTAAAAATAATTCTGGTGAATTCTTACTACTATTATTGTTATTATTATTTTGAAAAATCTAAATTCCAAATTCAACTTTAAATTTATTAATGCATTCAATGAATGCATGCATATCTGACACTAATAAATTATTACTACTTTTGATGGTTGTAAAAAAAAAAAAAAAAATAAATGAATGCAAAGATTTCCATCATAAAGTATAGTGTCAAAAAATAAAACAATTCGTAATTGTTCCTGAGATTTCACGAGATTTAAAATGAAACTAGAAAAGAGAAAAAAATGATCTAGATTTAGATGAAATTTTGCAAAACATTCTTCTTTTTTCTTTTTTTTTTTTTTTTTTTGAGGAATTATTTACACTTTCAAAAACTAATAATTGATAAAAAATAAAAAACTAAATTTTTAGACGAGATCAATGATAGAGAGATATTTGAATTCAAACTGAAATACCACTATCAATTACAGTGCCCGTTGTTCTTGATGCTGTTTCGTGATAATTATTGCCTCCGGTAACTGATGATTGCTCATTTGTTCGAGTACTAAAACTATTAAATAAAATGTTAAATAGTAATTCGAAAAAATATATTCTTAATTAGCAATTTATTAAATAGTATTAATTAGAACATTCAAATGTAAAATTTTAAATGATAAATTTGTCAAATTAATCTAAGCAATTTTTTTAAGAAAATTACCACCTTTTCATTCAATAATTATTTCTTTAACAATAAAAGTTAAAACTGTTTTATTTTTTAATTAAAAATTTTTAAAATAAGCCTTTGTTTTTTCTCTTTTCATAATGAAATATAATCGTGTAGCTAAGCTTAATTCTCATTATTTATTTAATTACTTATTTATTTTTTGATCTAAATTATCAGCTTATCTAAATGATACAATGATAACTTACAGACGAGGAGTTCCTTCATCATCTGCATCATGTGCATCATCAAATGATAACCTTTGTGAACAGCCACGATCTTTTGCTACAAATAAATTTACATTTTATAAATATAATAAAAATAATTATATAATATAAAAAAAAAAATTAATGAAAGATGTAATATACCAATGAATGTTCCTTCTGGTGTATAAATGGTGGTATCAATATTTCCTTTACTAAATCGATTACGACCTTGTTCCAGGTATAATGAAATCACTGAACGAGTCATCACATCACCATCTAAATTATATAAATTATTAATTATCTAGGATTTTTTTTTTTTGTTTTTCTAGATATTTCTTTTTTTTTTTTTTAAATTTATTTTTCCCTTTAAGTTATGGAATAGTAGAATTTATTTTTACCTCATTTTCTTATTTTTTTGTTGTAAATTTCTTTTTTTTTCTTTTCTAGCACTTTTCAGTTTAATATAAAATTGGTCATTATTAATTATTATTATCAATCATTGTCCTTACTATTATCATTATTATTATTATTATTATTATTATCATTATTTTTTTATTATTATTATTTGTTGTTGTCGTTGTTTATTATTATCATTATTATTATTATTAATTTACTGTTATTATTTATTATTATCATTGTTGTTATCTTAAGATCACTATTATTGTTATTAATTTATTATTATGGCTATTGTTACTGCTATTATTATTATTATTATCACTATTAATTATTACTATTATCAGTATCTAAGATTGAAAAAGCATAGAAAATTGACGAAAGATTTAATGATGCGAATATCGCAAGATACGTCGCAAAGAATGAAAGCACACTTTCTCGCATATTATGAAATTAAACAATTACAAATCAAAAATAGAATATAAACTAACTTATGATCAGTTCATTAATTTATTTGTAAAAATTTTAAACTTCAATTCAAAAATGAGTTATTTTCTAAAATTAATTCATACGTGATTGTGAAGATCGATGTGGAATAGTGGAAGAAATAGGACGTCGTTCACTTTGACATAAACGAGTTGAACAAACATTCAATGATTGTGGACTACGATATTTTCTAAAAATGATTAAATCATTTTTAAATTCAAGCTTTTTCTGTTTCATTTAAAAAAAAAATTGCAAAAGTGATACCTATGAATATATTTTTACATTATTCAATAGATAAAACTAGCAACTTTAGATTATTTATCAAAAATTTTTTTTATAAATATATTTAAAATTAATAAAATTGCATTAAAAAGAAAGAAACTTAAAAAATTAAAATTTCCATAGCTTACATTGCACAATTAGTTTTAACAGAGTTTGGTTCACCCTCAGATGTAGACGATTCCATTTCCTCAATTTTGTATCGCAATAAATCATTTTCTTTTAGCATTGATTCGGACATTACCGCTTGATTACGCGCAGAACGTTGTAACTCTTCAAATTTCGATGTCAAAACTCTGCAAAAAAAAAAAAAAAAAAAAATTAAAATTTTAAAAAATAAATTAATTTTTGATGAATTTAGCATAACTTTTGTAATGTTAAACTTAAATAATCTAATTAATGAACTAATTATTAATTATACAATTCTCGAATATTGATTACATACTTTTCCGTATTAGTTTTTTGATCTACCAATATTTTTAATTCTCGAACACGATGCTTTAGCTTGCTTATTTCAATATCTTTTAGTGGTATCTCTTCCACTTTCAATTGCAATTTTGCATTTGAATGTCGTAGCGTTTTAATTTCTGTTGATTTAATTTCCAATGCTGTATTTAAGCTGCTAATTTCTTTTGATAATTCCTAAAAATTTAAACCTTCAATTAACTAAAATTACAAATGAAATTTGTAAATTAATCGAAATACATCAATTATATATCATAAGTTTCTATTATTTTCGCTTTAATTCAAAAGTATCGAATGCATGAATCAAATTTTTAATAAAAAAAATATATAAATCGTTTTATATTATTTCTTTCTATCAATTTATAAAAAGAAATGCAGAAAAAAAAGATGTGAAAAATTATTTATACAACTTAAAATATTCAAAATTAAACTGATTTACAAAAAAAAAAAAAAAAAAAAGAAATTTACCGCAACTTTTTCATTTGTATCTTTACTTAGTGTTGCTTCAAGATTTTTCTTATCTCGGATGAGTTCTTCCAAAACTTTTTCCGCTTCCGCTAATTTACTATCCAAATTAGCGCATTGAATTTGATTGGAACGGCTAAGGCGTTCAATTTCCGCCTCATGAATGCAACGTTGTTCATCTAATGTTCGCATTAATTCATCATTACATTCTGCTAACTAAAATAAAATTAAATAAATATCATTAATTTGTAATTTATTATTGAAAAATTAACAAATATTCCATACAATGATTATCTAATTAAAATTTAAAAAAGAATTTAAACTAACAATAAATAGAAGAAAAAAGAAATGTTTAGGAATATTTTATTAATTCTGAGATATCACCAAGTGTTTATCATAACAAATGCAAATAATTTCAATTTACTAAGCATCAAATATAAGTGTTAAGTGTTAAATTTCAATTGATAAAATAGATAATTTGAAATATCATAAAAATAATAAAAAATTTGTCAACGATTTCAAAATATATATATATAAATACATAAATTAATTAATCAATTAATTAAAATTATTAACTTTTTTTCTCAAATCTATAAAATATGAAATCGAGTATCTAAATGTTACTATCATTTTATGCTAAAAATTTATGAATTTTTCAGCAAAATAACAAAAAAGTTGCAAAAATGCAAGTATTAATAATATTTGTTTATTTTTTTGATATATTGCATAAAAGTAAAGAAAAAGTTAAAAAAAAAAAAAAATTCTTTTTAAGAAGAATAAATTGTAGAAAATAATTTTTATTATGAATTAAACAAAAGAATGTTTTAAGCAAAAATAAAATAATTAATGAAAATAGTTAAAAGTAATAAAAATTTAAGCAAATAATAAAATTTAAGTAATTAAATGAATGAATAATAAATAAATAAAATAAAAGTTAATGTCAATTTTTTCAAAAATACAAAAATGAAATGAAAAATAAAATTTATGAGTATTTTATAAATTAAATAGTTATTGTTCTAAATTTTGTAACTCACATGCAGTTCATATGTGAATGAACCTATTAGTTAGTATCTTTAGATGATTAAAACTACAATAAAACTTTTCTTTGATCCATCCGACAAGTCATTCATCTAGAAATTACTTTTAAGAAAATATTCGTTCAATCATATCC